GTCATCAGTTGACCCCCCAAAAATTGAAAAGAAAATGAAAGATGATGAAATAAGCTTTGATTTGATGTGTGTCTCGAACACCTTGGAGAGTTGTGAGTATTTTCCCCGAATTTCTGAAGTGGGAGCATTTAGTACCATTGGGGTCTATGGAAGTTTATTTACTGGTCTGCAACCCTTGACAGGTTCGTGGGTAATATTGGTTGGTCTAGCTAGACTAGCTTCAAATCTCTCCTCGACAACATTCATACAATTAGCCATGCATGCTAAGTGTCACTGAACCATTCCCCTTTTTTGGTGTTGTCGTCTGGTCGTCAACAATTGTCTGGATAGAGCATTCCATGCAATGACGTACGAGCGTACTCGTGACCATGCAAGCGATAAATTTTGGTTTTATATAGTTGTCAGTTATGCGTTCTGCTGAGTAAAAGTGGAAGGGAACCACTCAAACACAACGAGATTTAGCAGAACTTGGGAGATTGGATCCAAAGTGGTCTTGTCGGATAAGATATACCATCGCCATGTTCCGAAATACACCACCGTGGCTAGTGGTAAGACGTTTAACTTTTTTTTCTTCCATGCACTGTTTGAGATACAGGTGGATAGTCGTACTCAAACGGGGAAAATGTCCTGATCTCGTGGAAAACGGTGACGCTATTGAAAAGATCGAGCACTACTGGCGAGCTTCTATACGTGATCTGATATTTAAGATTAATGACAGCAATTTGAATTAACTTCAGACGGAATATTTGTAACCCAATTTAATAAATAGTTTTTAACTCAACTTGTCACAGCAGCTTGTTTTATAGCGGCATTGATCGGTTTTGCGCGAAATCGAATACTACTAACGAGCATTTAGTGAAGTGGCGGGATATAAATGAAAAGGGGGCAGTGAAATTTCCCCTTAAAGACTAATATAGTTTTCGAACATTCCAGGTCTAGAGAGACAAAGACTCAATGGGTCGGTGAGGGAATCTGTGGGTTGTAAACTCAGGGAAATGGTAAATTCCGGTCGATATATAGCCAAGCCTTACCAAACCAATGATCTGTACGCAGCAGTATCATTGGAAACCAGCAGTAACTTGGGAGTAACCTGCGATGGACTGATTTCCCATGAAGGGGAAAAGAAATGTTCTCATCGTTTAATGCCGCGGAAACCAGAGTCATACGCCAACCTGATGAGCCTTATTGGCTCCGAACAAACTTTTAATTTATTTACTCATCTGTTAGGTCAAGTGGCGTATATTTTTCAAAGCTAGAGTGGCATGAAGCCATTTTTTTAATATTTAGTATGGGCAATACATTCTATATAGCAGGCACTAATTTTATATTGCCCTCAATATAAAACTATCATGATTGTATCTCGCCGTTGACTGATTTATCAAAAGTACTGTTGTACTTTGTTCATAATCACAAAAACCATACTGACGGTGGCTCCTACATCAACGACATTTTGAATTAATTTTTGTGCAAAACAGAAGGCACTGAGAAATATATCTTTATGTGCAAAGACAACATTTGTATAAAATAGCGGCCGTTTTAAAACAAAAGGGCCACTGTAGAAATGTTGCCTTAATTTATCAAATGTATACCGTTGTACTTTGTTCATGTACATGAACACCAAAAACTATACCGAAACATCAAAATGGCCACCATATTCGAATATTCGGTTTGAAAAAAAGGCATTTAGTCTATAGTTTTGTTGAGTACCGTCCCCGGATGACAAACACATTGGTTCTAATGACGAGGCTAATTATTATTATCTTCGTTGTGATTACACAGCGCAACCCAGGCGCGGATATCGTCTACGAGTTCAATGGCCCCAAAGGCCTGCCAGGAACCCGCAGGTTTCATCATTGGCCTCGTTTTGGAGTGGAGGAAGATGTCATCGACATGCCATTGCATGATTGGGGTCACATGGGGCCGCCGAGAAGAGACGCCATGCACTACAAGAGGCGTGGCTTATCGCCGGAGGAGAGAGTCAAGCGCGTCATCTTGTGTTTCATACTTGCTGTCGTCGTGGTGGTGCTATTGGTTGGAGGGGTGTTATTTCCGGTCATTTTCTTGAGCTGTAAGTGCATGGGTATTAAGTAAATATACGTATATAAAATTATATTTAAAATACTGCCTGAAATTGACCGAATTTTCAATCGGTTACATAATCCGTGAATGAGAACTTGGGATCATTCCACAACAAGAGCGTTCAAGTCAAAACGTACTGCATTCTCAAAACATGTATTAAAATTTTGTTACTCAAAAAACAGTTTTTCAAAATTTAAACCAACAATGTGTACATTTCTCCAGCTTGACCAAAGTTGGGTACATTTTACCCAACGTTGGGTTAAAATTTGGTTATTTTTTTTACCAAATTGTGTAACCAACTGTTGTGTGGTTCACCTGGTAACCAACGGTTGGTAAAAATGTGTCATTTTACCCAACGTTGATTAAATTTAACCAGATTTAACCAACGTTGGGTAATGTGTACAAAATACATAACGTTGGTTAAAAGTTTAACCAAAAATTAACCAACCAAATTTGTATACATGTCTTGAGAGCGTAAATGAACCGGTTTGGAAGATTTCAACGGAAATAATGGAGATGTATTTTCATAGTTTTCTCAAATATCTAGCACTGAACTAAAATTTCAACGGGATGGTTTCTTTAATAACCAGCCTCAGATTCATGGTATTGTTGTTCCTTGAATCGAAAAAAAAAAAAAATCTTCACCTTTGAACTGTGCATTGTTGTGCTGGTGGCATGCTGCAGCACCAAAACTTGGTGTTCTCTGCGTAATGTATGCATGATAGACTTTCATCCGCTAGATAGCTCAGGACGACTTATTTTAAACATAAAGGTAAACCTTATGGAACTCATTTGTTTAAATAAACTTGAATGAATTTGTTAATGGTTGAGACTGGAGAGACTGTAAGATCGTATTGTATTAGAGAAGCACGTTTTGAAAATTCGAATTATTACGCTGAACACTCTTTTTTTCCTTTTTCTTATTTACATTTTCCATCCGTCTCACAGCTCAGCCGACTGCACGTGAAAGAGCAGGTAGGCATTTCTATGTTTGAAAGTGTACGCTAGATATTACAATTTTCCACTTCACTGAATACAATATGTTCATGTATTGGTTTTCAAATTGGCATATACATAATATGATGAAAATAAGTTCAAGCAGTGCTCCCCGGGAATTTTGTAGCTGAATTTTCGGGCCCTATATACTAGGACTTCATCGGAGCTGGACTAGCGGTTTGACTCCATCGGACTCCTGCTCCGATGAAGGCCTAGTAGGGCCGAACATTCAGCAACAAAATTCCCGATGGGCACTGCTCGAACTTATTTTCATCATTATCTACAGTGCTACGCAGTTCTGCTTCATGTTGTACGATACATACATTATACATATACACAAACAAAGCGCAACACAACTCCCAATTTGACTTGTCTGAAAGTGAACTCACAGAAACAAAACAAAAACTTTTAATGTGTTTATCTTCTTTTTTCCCCAGCAATGACGCCCGAAATCGGTAAGTAATTTCAAATTTCACATGTAGGCCCTAAATATTGCTTCAATATGGAGTTGAATTGTGTGCAAGCTTCCCTTTACGCCTACTCAACTGTTGTCATAACTTGTCGGCCGACCCTTTGATAAGTTCGTGCTGGCGCGCGTACCAGCTCTCACTATTATTCCAAATTCTTTCAATTTCCCCCCCGGAAGACTGAACCCGGTGGCACAAAAGTCAAGTTGACCCCAACACGGCCTCTGCATCAATCTTTTTCGACATACCTGTGGTACGCCTTATTCAAAAAAAGAGAATGAAAATGTTTTGAGCCTGAGATCAGTCCTTTGCATGAGAGCTTCTGGAATTTTGAAAAGGTATAGGCCTTGAGGAACCAGTGAAGCGGCACGCTGGGCCACTGTCAGGAACCGCATAGATCGTAGGCATGTACAATGGGCGTAAATCCCTGTGTAAGGTTATGGGGAGGATATAGACAAAATCGAGTGGCAGCCATTTTCTGTGGTGCCGTGCGAGTCACGCTCAGTACAACCTCGTACCCAGGGTGTCGAGCAGTACGCGCCCATCACTACCTGCTCTCTCACCCTGGTATTGGATCATTTGCATGTGCAAGATTTTTGAATACGTATGCAAATGAGGAATAGTCTGGTGCCTACATGAGCGTTACATTAGCGTTTGTTTTTGTATGCGGTGTCTGGGGTAAAAACAGAGTTAATTCGTAGCAGCGCGAGCATGGCGTGAGTTACGAAAACACGATTTTTATTCAATTAAACTGTTACGATCTTAACGAAACAATATGCAGTATCAAAGTTTCCTATCCAGGGTTTACTATTGGAAACCGTGTTGGAAATAAAGTAAGCACTGGGGACGAGGTTGCACTCAGTAGTATATATGCATCCGGGCTCCTTCAACCACTGTCTGTGTATATGGAGATCAATGAGAAAAACCAATGAACGTGCGCGCGCCTTATCTTTAAGAATGCGTGCATCGTGCGCGTGAGCGTGACACGTAACGCAATAAAAGATTGTAATTCTGGTCGTCGGATTCCAGGATGGGCACGCAGCTTGTGAAATTTTGTCCAATTACATGATGTGCAAATGAACGCGGAACGCGCAAAATCTGAGACAAACAAAACTGAACGTACACAAATTCCACAGGGTTGTCTAAGGGGCGTGGCTAACTCGCAAACGGCGATAGGTCAAGTGGATCAATCCCCCCGTATAGTACATTTTTGTAGTGAAACACAAATAAATGCCGATTTATGGTTATGTTTAAGTGTTTACAAGGAATTCCGGAAGAGAAGTCGAGCATGAGGTGGCCAATTTCTGCACAGAAACGTTGGTTTACGTATTGGAAGCGGACAACGACTGTATTATAGGGATAGTAATTAAAATGTCTGTTCTTTATATTTCATCATCGTTTTATCAAGAGCAATCAGAGTATCATAAAGATGCATGAGATCCAGAATATGATCGTAGCTTTTTTTTATCACAGAGTTTGTCGGCGGGATCGTGACCTTTGACCTCGACTACAATCCCGCTTACAATGACCCAACTTCGGTGGAGTACCAGGACTTGGTTCAAAATTTCATCGCGGAGGTAGGCCTACCCAGTGACATATATAGCAAGGTCATTTTTATTTGGTGGGGGTTGGGGGAGGGGCAGTTTTTTCACCCGTCACCCAGCCTCTGTAAAATCAAAAAGTGGAAAGGGGGTAGTGGGGGGGGGGGGGGGGGTACTGGACACGATCTTCATATGGGGGCTCTCTTCAAAATTTGAAAAAAGGGGACTCGTCAAAAAAGGGGCTCACATTACATTTTTTTTGGGGGGGGGGGGTAAAAAACACCTTAAACACCCCCCCCCCCCTTTCTGGCTACGCCACTGATACCCCCTGATGACTCATCTTTGTATACATACGAGGCATTTGATTATGTGCACAAGTGTAGGCTTACGTACGTTTCCTGTCGGGTTAATGAAAAAGAAAATGATCGTTTCAGATGCCAACTGGCAGAAACGATTTTTTTTTTTTCAGACGAGTTGATACAATTATTTCAACTTATAACGCCTTAAATCAAGAGAGGGCGCCGTAACTTTTGTACTGATCACCTAAAGCGGGATTGAATGTTTTCCACTATTTTAAAAAAAAAATTGGTCAGTTTGTGAATGGAAAGTAATGGATAACAAATACATACTTTATCTTGGATAAACAAGGAGCAACCTTGTTTATACGTGGAATTGACCTTATTTTTCTTCCCCGGTTTGTTTTTCGCAAGATGGATAACCTTCTCAGGAATGATGCGGCTTATCAGGAAACCGTCGTACACGAAGTAACGTAAGTTGCAACTCAGATCATTCAGGATTCAGTCTAGCTATGTCTTTAAAACACCAATTTCGCATACAGTAAGTCTCAACGTCCTTGAGGCCATTTTTAAGCTGAGCAAGATGATCCAGAAGAGCCTATTTTATGAGACAAAATTTTGCGTAAAACTGCCATGTCTTGATCTTCTCATCAATACTGATAAATAGTTTCCATTCTCTATTGTCTCGGAAGCCCGCTCTTGTAAAAGATAGTTCCTCGAAAACGTACAATAAACATAATGTGAAGAGGAAAAGATCTTTGTTCCTAGGCAAGACACTTCATCACAAGTTGCTTCTCTCCAACGTGGATTACCTGTGAGGGCAAAGAGGATGATAGAAAAATCAGTATCTTGTTGTTTACTCCCCCCCCCCCCCAAAAAAAAACCAAGAAGGATGGGATGATCTTAAAAAACGTTACATGAAAACATTACTAATGTAATTTTTAAAGGGAGGGCAGTGTCGGGATCCGTTTTGAATGTATATACACGCAAGGAACGAACGCCGACATACCCTTCAAAGAGACCTTCCGAGAAAAGCTGGAGGAACAGGTGAAGACCGGCAACCTCGGCCAATTTGTGTTTGTACCGGCCACGCTCGTCATCTTTGATGGTAAGTCTTGCAACGGCAAACCTTTCTCCTTGATCGGAGTGAGGATTGTTTTGTCCTTCTAGCAGGGGCGTAAATCCCGGGAGGATGGGGGGGGGGGTTTATATCCCCCCACACTTTTGACCTGGGGGATGTGCTATTGAATCGTCCCCCCCCCCTCTTTTTGTGATAAAAAATGCGGATTTTAAGGTATTTTCCTAACGTCCCAACAACTAAACAGTATTCAGTAGCACTGGAAAGTGGAGAAACAAAGTACAAAAGCTTTAAAAAGGTAAGCGTGAGTATACATAAACGATATAAATCTTACCCTGAAGAGCGCTCATTGTGTAATATTATGGTGTCCAGCCATTTTAGGATTTTGGTCATCCCCCGTCCCCCACTCGCCGGCACAGATTTACGCCACTGCCTTCCAGTCGATAAGTCAAGCCTCCGAGTCTTTGCAAACGGTGTTGCAGGTTAGATAAACACTCCCGATAAAAGTGTGCTCCTCCTTTGAGGGCTTACACAGAAATGGAAGTAGAAACGAGACAACGGCAAGCTTGGAAACTGAGCTGGTCGACGAGGATCAGGAGCCCTCAACATTCTTTTCAGTTATTTCAAACACAGACGGGGCATCCAATAAGTGTATCCAATTTAATGTTATGGTGTTTTTTTTTCTGTTCCTTTAATTCTGGCATGTCCATCTGGAATAAATATGCGCCTTTTTTTGTGGTTTAAATACTGTCCCTGTTTCAGTGTGTAATCTTTACTGTTTCAACGGAGGAACGGTGAACAGAGCGATCAACGTGTGTGCTTGCACCTGTCCCGCCGGCTTCCTACCACCATCATGCCAAGGTAGGTAATTCCAGGATTCGACGAGCATGTTTTAGCCACGAGGGCAAATCACGATGCGCTCTTGCTTCTGTAACGAAGAAAAACAACCATCTATTTGAAGTACTATTGGGTTGCCCCTGGTAACGGTATACCTTGCTTATTTTCTTTTCTATTTAAGCTCCAACCACCATTGCGATACCGACTACCACAGGTATGGCGTTGACAAGTGGAATGTCCACGGGAATTCTTACCACAACCAGTTCGGTGAATCCCACGGTAGCTGCTCTGCCAGGTACCACCTCAAAGCAAATGACGTTCGTGTTGCCAGCAACCACGGTAACACCGACGACCGAGTTACCAACAACCACAGTGACACCGACGACCGAGTTACCAACAACCACGGTAAAACCCACGACCGAGTTGCCGACAACCACGGTAAAACCCACGACCGAGTTGCCGACAACCACAGTGACACCGACGACCGAGTTACCAACAACCACGGTAAAACCCACGACCGAGTTGCCGACAACCACGGTAAAACCCACGACCGAGTTGCCGACAACCACAGTGACACCGACGACCGAGTTACCAACAACCACGGTAAAACCCACGACCGAGTTGCCGACAACTACGGTAAAACCCACGACCGAGTTGCCGACAACCACGGTTAAACCCACGACTGAGGTGCCGAGTACTACGGAATCATCGACAACCACGGAAATTCCAACGACTACGGAATCACAGACAACTACGGAATTTCCCACGACGACTGAGTTGTCAACAACGACGGAAATTCTGACTACGGAATTACCGACAACAACGGAAATCCCCACGACGACTGAGCTGTCAACAACCACGGAAATTCCAACGACAACGGGAACGCCTGCTCCGGCTCCGTCTCCGTCTCCGGCTCCGGCTCCGGCTACGATTCCGCCTGATGAGATCCCGCCATAGATTAAATACATGTAATTTGACCTTAAACAGAGTGGTTCAAAACAGTGTACACTTTTCCAGAGGCAGATTTCTCAAAATTGGAGAGACATTTTGCAATTGTTATAACAAGATATTCATATTATAACACACTGAGTATACAGTGTTTAAAACGTCGGTGAAGGGCAAAACCTAATTTGAAGATATTCCTAATCTACAAGATTTTGGTTGTATCTTGAAAACGGCGTTGAAAATAAAGCCGAATAAGGCCAGATCCAGGGGGGGGGATACCCCCAAGAAAAAAAACACGATTTAGGCTGGATTTTCAGTGCCGTTACACCATGCACTATGAAAATGCACCCGTTTTAGTCCCGTGACGTGTATGTTTGTATTATTAGAGGTTTTCTTCTAACCTCAGATTCATCAGAAATAGTCGAAATCTTTTGGTCTGGGAACCTGACTACGCAAACCTATGGGCCAAGTACCAGTTGCAACTAATTTCATTTAACTCCTCTTCTTTTTATATCAGGAATTTAGTGAATATCTTTTCACACATTGTTGCACTGGTAATTTGACATAATCGTTTTTTGTGGTTTTTTTAAATTCTTTAAAGCCTATACAATGAGGAAAGTTTGGGGGAAATCCCTTCTAAAGACCAGTTTTGTAACTCATGAATATTAATATCACGATATTGGCCAATCACAATCAAGATGTCGAGGTCACGCCTCCAAACACTGACCAATCACAACTGTTTCACCGTGCCTGATGACTGGAATCCCGACATAAATTCAAAGATTATTTCCTATTTCTATGAAAAGTTTAAAAAAGTGAATTTTATTTACAAATTATAGTTCTTAAATTCTATGCATTAATAGGTGAATCGGTGATCATTTAATCTTGGAAAAGAAAAAAACCGTTTTAGAGCTTGACTGGTTCCATACCACCATAGGTTTGTGCCATAGGTTTATGAAGGTCCTCCCTGCTTAGCAACGGCCATTCCCTCCGCGTAAATTTGGTTCTAGATCCGCCCTTACTTAACTTTATACACACATATTTTCATTATAAAATTGATGTTTGAAGTAATACCTACCTTAAAGCGAAAAATGTATCAAATTAAAAGGGTTTAAAGGTTTCGTTAGGCAATACGGTGTTGGTTACTTTTGGTATTTATAAGCGCCTATCAATTGCTTCCCCCCGGGCTGCCCCACCCAAGATGTGGGGATTGTCACTTTTGAAGTAGCAAAATCCCCACCCCTCGGGCAAAGTTTAAGTGGCCATCTCTGTCATTCATGTGGCGCACTAGTGATTGGCTTTCCATGTAGTACGCCAATGGTAACAATGATTTGAGAGAGTCCCCACCCTGGGGCATGATAAACCCGACATCGGACCTTGGGCAGTGGGGGGGGGGGACATTTGATGCGCGTATCATTCAATTACTATATACACTGTGTATTTTAACACCTGTATCGTTCCATTTAAATCTGAAATATAATCACAAATTTTAATTTTTGAATTGAATAATTCTAAGAAAATATATCTTTTGGTATATTTTCGTATACATGCGTTTAATGAGTTAATTTTGTGTGTAAAGAGGAGAAAAGCTCTATTACCTGAAAATGGCATAACACAATATCGAATAGTGTGTGGGCCTACCCAACCTTGTCCCCAGGACAAAAATGCTGTATTTTCAACCTTGTTTCCAATTGTAATCCCTGGATAGGAAACTTTAATTCCTCCTGTATCCTGATTCGATACCGCAATTGGCAAATAATGGATTTATAATCGTGTACTTGGTGTTGGTATGAAACTTTGAAGAAAAAAAACTGTGTTTACGTAACTCACGCCACAACAAAATGATTGTGTTTTTACCCCCCGACACCGCATACAAAAAAACGCTTATGTAAAGAACAGGCAGTCACGAGACTATTCCTAATTTGCATACGTTTCCAAGTAGTGGTGGGCGCGTACTGCTCGACACGCTGGGGATGAGGTTGATTCCTACCTGCTTGCTAGACAAGAACTTAGTGTATCACACTGTAATAGAATTACTGTTGAAAGTACGTTTCTTTGTCTTAAGCACAATCCTTATTATATCTTTTTGGTGTATATAAATCTGTGTTAATGGGCACCTTATAGCCACAGTTGAACTGTTTTATTATAAAGCGTTTTCAGTTTTACCACACGAAGTCATGGCCTAGCGGTTAAGAACACCGGACTCATGTTCTGGTGTTTCAGAGGCAACAGTGACGTGGGTTCGAGCCCGGGCGCGGACACTTGTGCCCTTAAGCAAGGCACTTAACCATTATTGCTTCGTCCTTCGGATGGGACGTGAAGCCGTAGGTCCCGTGTGTTGTATAATGTCTAATGCACGTTAAAGAACCCAGTACACTTATCGCTAAGAGAAGGGGTTCGCCCCGGTGTTTCTGGCAGTGCGATTATCTTCAGCCATGAAGTCTGCACTTGTAAGGAAGAAGAAGAAGAAACACATGATCATTTGGAAAATAGTCACGGTTTACTCTAGCCCCATAAATGTGGCCAATTTACTGGACTACCTCCGTAAACATAGGCCACACATCCACCATGTACAAAAACATGGCGCACTTTGTCAAATTTTGATTTTCACATTTAGGCTTAATTTGTAGGTTTTGTTGCTTAAGAAGCATACTTACCCTCTTTATTGGCTAATTAGAAAGTGCTGCCTTTTCCGGATGTCTAATTTTCATGACATTTCATGTTGAAATTTTGATACGCAAACGTGTGCAAACGAATCTGGAAATTTCACAAAAAATAGACATCTGAAAAAGGCAGCACTTTCTGATTGGCCTATAAAGAGGGTGAGTATGCTTCTTAAGCAAAAAAAACCTACAAATTAAGCCTAAATGTGAAAATCAAAATTTGACAAAGTGCGACATGTTTTTGTACATGGTGGATGTGTGGCCTATGTTTACGGCGGTAGTCCAGTAAAATTGACCACATTTATGGGGCTAGGTTTACTCAAGTTATTTGCTTAAATACAGTTAAAACAAAATACATGTACTCAGATTTTTGAAGTTATGCAAGGTGGTTTTATTTGAATTTAGAATTTATATCTCAGGTGATGGTACATGTTAAATAATAAATATTGGTGGCTAATTACATCGTAGCCCAAGAGAGTCATTTTTCTATTTGAGTCAGGAATATCAACGTAGTTTGTCTGACTAATGGAATCAATTAATATTTAAAGGTGAAGTACATCATTTTTTGCAGCTATCCAAAAAGTAACCGACAAAATGATTGTTGAAAAGCATACAAAAGATGCGTCTGAAGATGCTTTTTTGGAAATTTCTTTTAGTGTAATTCGGGCAAAGCCGTGAATGGGTGCGCGCAAGCATTGGCACACCGCACATGCGGTTGCTCTAATTCGTTCGGCGTGACATCGTGTAGGTAGCTGCAATCGGCTGTATATGCGAACGTGCCTCGGATGCTGATTTTGGGTGAAATTCAAAACATGACTCGGCAACTTTTGAATCGAAATTGAGATCCTAATGTTGTTTTCTCGGAACAAGGGGCACAACAGCCAAACAAATTTAAGAGTCAGCATTGCCTCATATAGACTCCATGCACAAACAGTGTTGCGACCGCCTTTCGACCAACCCTTGGGGAGGGACACACCGCACGCGCATACTGGTCCTCGCGCGTGTAGCGCAAATTTAAGCATGCTCAACTAATTCTATTTCCTCCGCAAAGGAGGTTATGTTTTCACTGCCGTTGGTTTGTGAGCTGGTTGGTTAGTGTGTTTGTCTGTGAACAGGATAACTGAAAAAGTTCTGTACGGATTTTCAAGAATTTTTTTAGAGGTGGTCCTTGGTACAGATTTGGAATTGATCAGGATCTGCATGTGGATGCAGGATTTTTTCCAAGAATTTTCACCAATATGCGTGTACATTTTTTCACTAGATTGCTCTATGCACAGGTTTGTGTGAGTGGCACTGACCCGGTGACCCAGTATGTCTTGTGTAACACACCTATTCTAACCACACAATGGACTATACCATTTTATACAATGGGGAGTGGAAAAGTAGACCAACACAGGCATATACATACAAACATGTTTGAGTTTACGGAAGTCCAATGGATTTGCAAGGCTGTGGGTGCACTAACAAATATGGCAAGGAAATTGTTCAGCCTTGGCGGAGGTGAGCGCTCTCTGAGTGCTTTCTAGTTCTGAATGCGCACAGTCACTTTGCATCAGCAATTCGCTCAAGTGTCCCTCCCTCCCGGTGGTCTGCCCCACCGCTCCAAGCAAAGGCCAAAGGAAGATATGAGGTCAAGTTTGGTCTTCCGTTTCCTTCCTTGGATGGTTTCCATAGAAACACCACTGGTAAAGTTCTCTCAGTTTGCTGGTGTCAGTCACTGTAGGCGGGGGGGAAAGAAAACAGAACGAAACTTCAAGGAAACAAAGACCTCCATACATGACTCTGAAAGACCTGGCAATGGTTGTACTTCGAGCTTGTGAGGAATTGCAGTCAGTTGCCGTGTCTCGCGTAGCTGGTCGAATCTCTCTTCAACACAAACTGACTGCAACGCGAGGCTAGCGAACAAAGGCCATAATAAGGCTTCAGAAACTTCGCAATTTTCATGCCAAACGACAACAGATCCATACAAACAAAACTATTTTCGGTAGTCACCTATCACATACATCCATCAAGGTATTTTTTTCTAAAACAAACAAGGGATTTCGATCCATTTTGAATATATATTTTTTTTTCACAGACAAATCAACTAAAAAATATGTGATGAAATTTCCTTTTTTGTCGACAACGACGAAGGTCTTCCAAATTTGGAGGTAATCAAAGGAAAGAATGAACCTTCATTTACCAAAAATCTTGTGAATATGATGTCGTGAAAATCAAAATGTACACCTGAAGCAGCGTTTATCAACAGCTTGTACACTTTATGTGATTTTGAAAAGTTTAATTGACATTTGTCAAATTAAATCAGAGGATTTCATGTGCTGCAAAAACTACTGTGTTATGTGTAAGAGGAGTAAATGATGCTTCAAGACAGTGTACTTGAGTCACTTGATTCCAGTCCGAGTCTCGAGTCACTCAGGTCCGAGTCCGAGTCCGAGTCACGAGTTCATGGACATGGACACACATAAATGTGATACACTGTATTTGTCTCAGAGAAATTGTGAGGTGGCATTTAAAGGGTCCATGCAATGTATTTCTTTTTAATATAATTCCTTGAAAAAACACATTTGTATCCCATAAAACCCTTTTTAAACTTTCGTTTTGTCATTTTTAAAGGGAATATACATCATTTGCTTTTGCTGTAATTTTCAGAAATGGATGGAATTGGGGGGTTGGAAATATATAGCAAATATAGTTACACTGACTTTTTTGAGGTTTTGGGTTCGAAAATGCTATAAAAACCAAGAAAAACAATCATTTTCCTGTAGTCTGGTTCCCTGACTCCATATAAGAAGAAACAGAGCAGTTTACATACATTGGGGAATTGTAAGGTCAGGGAACCAGTCTAGCTGTCTCGTACCCGTTCATAGGTTTGTAATCGATTGCAAACAAGTGCGATGGTCAATTGGGGCCAGTATTTGAAAAAAAGCCAGTTTTTTCCAACGCTGATCGGCCGATCAGCGTTGGAAATTGATACAAAAATGCCACTTTTCTTGAAAATGACAGTATACCAGGTGCCATGATTTTACAGGATGCTTTACACTGTCATTCACTAACAGTCCAGCAAGGTATTTCAAAATGATTTGGTAGTTTTATTTTTTGATGTTTGCAAATGTTGTATTTTCCCTTTAAGGGTGTTTTGGTACTTTTTTTTGTTTTTATGCTGATGCAAATTCCAGGCACAAAACCTCAAAAATTACAGGTTTATCAGCGCCAAAAATTGCCAGAAGTTTGGATATTTCGCTGTTGTAAATTTTACTTTCTTTGGTGATCCGTTGTTGTGTCAGTACATGGGCAAACTTTCCTCACAAATGTTTTTAATGTGCAAACTTTGGGTTCATAATTTGAGCAGAAAACCCTAAACTGAACGGTGTCTTCCTGGAATGACATCACAGCAACAGTGCCCTCAGTTAACTGTCCTGAAAAGCTAGGACAATTTTAAATGTTTTATAAAAGTGCACTTTTCAATAAAATTAGCCAAATGTACTGCAAGTTAAACTTGCACGATCCCCCTGGCATGCTGGCAGGATTTATACAGTCAGTAAGCACACTTTTCAGTGTACCTGACCAAAAACAACAATGACCTCATTTTGACCCCTAGATATGACCTTTGACCTCAAATGTCTTCAGTTATCTTAAGTCCCCCTTACCCAGAGTTACTGTCACCAAGTTTGGTTGAGATTGATGTCTGACTTCTCATAAGTTGACTCTTTAGTGCTGTCATATTATGACAGTCTTCTCTCTGGACTACTACCTTATCGTGGTGGAGGAGTTTGTGCACCTCAGTGACCCTGAGAGCTATGCTGGCAGGAGTTCTTTTACTCCTAGCAGGGCCACCCAAGCCAGACAGGTCAAAGGGTAGAGGTCAGACGAAAGGTAGTCCACATCTGTCAGCTCGGCAGCAGGGGCTGGCAGCTACAATCATGGCATATTCAATTGTTTGCTACTGGCATGTTGTAGCCGACTGGCAAGCGGATGAGCTCATCTTGGGTCAACGGCTGTTGGTCAACAGGCATAGTTAGTTTGCTACTGCGGGGCAGCCTCCATTCATCCCTGCTGTCACGCTTTGTTGCGTTCCGCTGGATTCGATGAATGTCAGGCCCAGAGGAGAGCGTCTGTCCTGGGCAAGCATTCGCTCTCTTTTCCCCTCTGCCTCGGCGCTCGGCGTCTACTAATCATGATGGTTTCCAATAATATTCAGCTACCGGCAATGCGGGAGCCACCCTCTTCGGGGGCTTTCGTTGCTCGGCAAGGTTCGTGTTCCAGGCAGGCGCGACCTGGTCGTCATCCTGCTACTGCCTATATAGCCTTCGCTTGTTGGAATGTTCGTTCTCTCGGTGTTCATACAGACAGCCACTCCTCCTCGCCAAGAAAATCTGCAGTGGTTGACCTCGAGCTTACTCGTCTTGGTATAAGTGTTGCAGCTCTCAGCGAAACCTGGCTAACTGGCTGTGGTTCTATTCGAGAGGAAAATTTCACCTTCTTTTGGAGCGGTTACGCAGATGATGCGAGGCCTATGCATGGTACAGGCTTCGCAATTCGGAATTCCCTACTCCCTTGCACTCAGCAACCTGCCGCCATCTCTCCTCGCCTCATGTCCTTGCGCATGTGTCTGAGCACTGGTTACGTCACTTTAATCTCTGCTTATGCACCTACCCTGACGTCTACCCCAGAGTCTAAAGACGACTTCTATCTTCAGCTTAGTGAGTTGTTGCACAATATCCCGGCTGGTGATGGCATCATTCTCCTTGGGGACTTCAATGCCCGCATTGGTTCTGACTGCAGTGCGTGGAAGAATGTAATTGGCCCGCATGGTGTTGGGAGAATGAACGACAATGGTCAACGTCTCCTCGAGCTCTGCGCTTCGTACAACCTATGCATTGCCAACACCTTCTTCGCAGGCTCTGTTCGCTCCAAGGTCACCTGGAAACACCCTCGCTCACAGCACTGGCACCAACTGGACCACATCATTGTCAGACAGAGACAACTGCGCGATACCACCCACTGCCGCAGCTTGCATTCTGCTGATTGCAATACAGACCATGCCCTTGTTCGCTGTAAGCTTCGTTTACTACCCAAGAAGTTCCATCGTGCAACGCATAGACCATTGCCTGCTATTGACACTGTCTCAACTCACGACATCAGTCATGTTACTCAGTTTCAAGAGCTCCTTTCTGGTAACTTCAGCTCAGCACCAATCTCTGCCAACCCTGAAGGTGCTTGGTCTAGGTTCCGTTCAGTAGTCTACAACAGTGCTGTGTCTGCCTTTGGTCGCTGCTCACGAAAGCAACCTGACTGGTTCCGGGACAGCGCGGACATACTGCTCCCTGCACTAGAGAACAAACGGTCAGCCAGAAACAAATGCCGCTTGATCAACACACGCTCCTCAAAAGCTGCCCTTCGGGCTGCCAAGAGCACTGTCCAGCGTCTTACTCGAGCAGCTTTGCAACGCTACTGGTCTCACCTAAGTGATCGCATCCAACTTTGTGCCGACTCTGGTGATCTACGCGGCTTGTACCAAGGCATTAAGGAGGCAATTGGTCCTACCCCAAAGAAATCTGCTCCTTTACTGTCGTCCACTGGTGCCATCCTCACAGACCAAACAGCACAGCTTGACCGGTGGGTAGAGCACTATAGCTCACTTTACAACAGCGATGCTGCAGTCAGTACTTCTGCAATATCTACCTTACCTCAGCTTCCCATCCTGAAAGAGCTGGACAATTCCATCACCTTGGAAGAAGTGAAACATGCCATCAACGGCTTAAAGAACAACAAGGCTCCTGGCACTGATAGCATCCCTCCAGAGGTACTTAAGAAGGGTGGTAATATCTTGGCTGCAGAGCTCCACGCTGTTCTCCTGACCTGCTGGAAATCCCAGTTAATACCACAGGATCTAAAGGATGCAAACATCATAACCCTCTACAAAAACAAAGGTAACCGACAAGACTGCAATAACTACAGAGGCATCTCACTGCTGTGCTTAGCTGGGAAGGTTTTTGCTCGAGTGCTGTTACCTCGGCTACAGGTCATTGCCAACAGAATCCTTCCCGAAAGCCAGTGTGGCTTCCGCCCATCCCGCTCCACTGTTGACATGGTGTTTTCCTTGAGACAACTCCAGGAGAAGTGTGTTGAACAGCGGCGACCTCTGTACATGGTCTTCATCGACTTGACTAGGGCCTTTGATAACGTGAGTCGTTCAGGCCTGTTTTCCATCCTAAAGCGCTTGGGCTGCCCAGATAGGCTTTTGTCTATTCTGATGTGTTTTCATGACGACATGCACGCCACAGTCCAGTTCAATGGCTCAAGATCTGCTAAGTTTGAAGTTCGTCGGGGCGTCAAGCAGGGGTGTGTACTTGCTCCTACCCTGTTTGGGATCTTTTTCTCAGCCCTGCTACACCGTGCATTTCCCGAACCATCTGGTATCCTACTTCACACACGCAGCTCCGGGAATTTCTTCGACCTGTCCCGTCTCCGTGCCAGGACGAAGATTCGGCATGTTCTCATCCGGGAACTCCTGTATGCTGACGATGCTGCCATTGTTGCCCACTCAGCAGATGAGCTTCAACATCTCTGCAACTCATTTGCCAGTGCTTGCTCGGAGTTTGGCATGATCATCAGCCTTGGCAAGACAATGGTGTTATCGCAAGGCCCAGGTCCCCCTCCCATGATCACCATCAATGGCACACCTCTGAGCGTGGTCAACAAATTTCAGTATCTGGGTTCTACAGTTACCAGCACCAACTCCCTGGATACCGAACTTGACTCCCGAATAGGTAGGGCTGCAACCACCTTTGGCCGACTCCGTGCTCGTGTTTGGGACAACCGAGCACAAAACAGTTAACTTAACCAAAACAGAACACATGGACACCTAGAAGGAATGCACAATCGCAAGATTCCCCCTTCTTGGCTTAAAAGCCAGAGGGATACAAAAGGGATGTCAAATAGTTTTCATACCTTTAAAGAGGTTGTGGAATGCTCGAAGACATTTCCGTCATTTTTCGGGTATATGTAGCCTAAGGTGTGGTGAAATAAAAACGACTATTGTGTCTGTCATGAAATGGGTACAAAAGGTACTTTTGAGAGCTGTTTTTCAGGTCCTGTTTCGACCCGAACGTGCAATTTGTGTAAAAGTCGTCGTTGGGGGCAGCAAACAAAACACAGTAAATCGTGACGTAATAAACAGGACTCGTTTATACTACGCTGCATCGGGAGTCCTGTTTATTACGTCACGATTTACTGTGTTTTGTTTGCTGCCCCCAACGACGACTTTTACACAAATTGCACGTTCGGGTCGAAACAGGACCTGAAAAACAGCTCTCAAAAGTACCTTTTGTACTCATTTCATGACAGACACAATAGTCGTTTTTATTTCTTCACACCTTAGGCTACATATACCCGAAAAATGACGGAAATGTCTTCGAGCATTCCACAACCTCTTTAAGAGGAGTAGAAAGTTGCACAAAATATATTCCTAAGAAAGCTTCACTTCATGGAACCTTTAATAACAAACATTATTATTTGCTGCACCACCTGAAGAGTGTGCAGTATGGTTCGTTTGCTTCATGGTCTTTCGCGTTGTTTTAACATTATTTTTAGCAAATAAACATGGGAATTGATATTAAATTCATTTTTTTAACCTTTCTTTTTTTTTGTTAAAAAAAAGTGAGAGTCGTGAGTCGGGAGTCATTAGCGTAAAGCCCGAGTCATGATGGACGAGTCTGAGTCCGAGTCTTTTGCCAATGCGACTCAAGTCAAGTCCAAGTCACCAAAAATGCGGCTCGCAAAAGCAAAAATCCATGCAAGTTCACCACATAAGTCGTAAAAAAAGTTTTTTGCCCAGCGAAGCACAAACTCACCGTCAATATTTAACTCTTTCAGTTTTTTCTGAACCTTCTCGTTCCTGGAGAGCGCCAGCTGTAGATCGGCCGATGGAATCCTGGGTATCTGCACGTTCCAGTAAAGGTAGATGCGCTTGTTGAATGTTGCGTACACTAGGCAGGGCTTGTTGGCGCCTGTGGTGCTGTACTGGCCTGTGCAGACAAGTACAATTGATTATGTTACGCCCCAACTATGGTATTGGTCCCAACTATAGTTGGGACGGTCCCAACTGTAGTTCCATAGTTGGGCTGGCCCAACTATAGTTGGGAGTCATCAAGGGGGCCCAACTATAGTTGGGAGTCATCAAGGGGGCCCATCTATAGTTGGGCCACTCCAATCTTTTTATTTTGCGGTGTCCCAACTGTAGTTTACATTGATGTACAACTATAAAATGTTCCCTACAGCTCTGATACACGTCTGACTGTACTGGGGACCACTGAAATTAGCTATTGACGGGGCTAATCTATAGTTGGGCCACCCCAGTCTTTTTATTTTGCGGTCCCAACTATAGTGTACGTTGTTGTACGATTATAAAACATTCCCTACAACTCTTATACACGTCTGACTTGACTTGGGACCAGTGAAATTATCTATGCGTGGGGCCCATCTATAGTTTGGCCACTGCAATATTTTTATTTTGCGGTCCCAACTATAGTTTACATTGATGTACGACTATAAAACATTCCCTACAGCTCTGTTACATGTCAGGCTTTACTTGGGACCTTTGACATTAGCTATGGGTGGGGCCCGGCCGGCCACGCCAATCTTTGCATTTTGCAAAATGTTGCTGGACTAAAAAAAACCAGCTGGACCACTCATCCGATTCAGCATGCACCATGGAACTCCAGTCCTAACTATAGTTGGGCCGACCCAACTGCCGCACTATAGTTGGGACAGGCCCAACTATAGTTGGGACCGATACCATAGTTGGGGCGTAACAATTACACTGTGAAACACAAGGATGAGATATTCAAAACGAAAAAAGTGGTGGCAGACTTTTGAAAAATCATCCTGACTTTCTTTAATTAAACTACTGAACAACATTTTGGTATTTCCTTTCTTGAGATTTTGATCTGGCTTATCTCAGTTCTTTCTTTTGTGATTATCCAATCAAGCCCGCGGGAACGGGGGGTGCTGTGGGTGCTGCAGCACCCCCAACTTTTTGGACTGGGGTGCTGAAATATGCTTCAGCACCCCTACTCCCGGGCAAAAATGTGTTCCAGCCAGCAGTGTTTAACGACGATGAAATTGCGCCGCTGCGCTACACATTATGCTTGCTCTAAAAATATCTCCTTCGTTTTGTTCGTTTCTAGTTTTGCCGTGGCTAAGCGCGGCGCTTCGAACGTCGTGCACGAACACTGTAAAATATCAAGAGGTATTTTCCAAACCTTCAGGCAGTGCAGAATCGATATTTCTCTAAAGGTATCTAAAATCATGACATGTACATGTATATGATATTTCTGCCATTATAGAAATTTGACCCGAAAGCCATGACCTCGGCCATGACAATGGTGGCAAAGTTGATCATGCTTGCCAGGATTTTTTTCATTCGATCTTTCAATAGAGGCAAATGTTTTGAATACCTTTCCCCTGATGGTTTTTTTTTTGCATTTAAAAGTTTCATTGACGTTGCTAGCATTCTGTACTCAACATTAACAAATAGCAAGGTCCCCAACCTAGGAGTGGGATGGGCTTTCATTGAAACTAGTCATGCATTACGCCAATTCCAGTGTAGTTTCGTTTTAATAAAAAAAACCTATTCATGTTTTAACCTCTGCAAGTTTTTCATCATAAAAAGTCAGTAGACCGATAAATCCTTGCCTATAGCCCCAAACTTGCCATCTACCGATCATAAACGTAAAGATGCATTTGGTCTTTTAGTCTTTTATATTTGCCATTCCCTACAAATATATCGAGAGCTACATCGTTTGGTCAGTTAGAACTGTATGAATACATTTATGAACAGAAATTCATCCGCTTCCAGTGGAACCATTTGTTTTAACTTGAACCAAAAAACGTCCTTTCGGGTTTTATAAGTTTCAGCATACTTCAGTATATTTCATCACAGTGCATCCAGAATCCAACATTTTCCGGGGCCTTCAAGCAGGCCCCTGGCCCAGTTGCCTCACGCCAGAAGGGCTCAGAAAATAAAACAAAACATGAAGGTACTTACTAAATGTAAGAGCAACAGTATATTCTAAACAAAATAATGAAATAAATTGTCTTTATAATCTCAAAACACTTTTGCTTAAAAAGTCAAATGACAGTGGCCAGGAAGCGCCTCAGATTGTACCACATAGGCCTAACATCCATATTCCAAATTAAGCCACGACGTAAGGGCTTTGCGCTCCGCTTTTGCATTAATTTTGTCCGTCCTTTAGAAATTCCAGCACCCCCTGACAAAAGTTTGTTCCAGCGGCAGTGTATCCAATAGCCGGTTTTGACGGAACGTTTATTGAAGGATGTCATATAATTTTAGATGACGTCATGAAGGCAACATTTTTCAGCAGTCGTCTTCAGATGATTGTTATATGGATACGGTAATTGTAAAGTTGATCGTATTGATTAAAGTTCCCAAAGTGGCTTGTGGAATGAAAAGGAGTACAAAACAGAAGGGCAAATTGGGGAAAAATGGAAGAAGAAAAAAAAAGGAAAAAAAAAAAAAAGGAAAAAAAAAAAAAAAAAAAAAAAAAAAGGAAAAAAAAAAAAAGGAAAAAAAAAAAAAAAAAAAAAAAAAAAGAAAACAAAAAAAAAGACAAAAAAAAGGACAAAAAAAAAGGCTGTTTCCCATTGAAATAAGGAACAGTTCGAAGAACACAGGCTAGATGTACGATACAGTGGATGGTGAAGTTAAAAGCAGTTTCTCCGCAGAAATATCACTAGTCTTCATTCAAGAAAACACAACATCCTGAACCAAGACTAACAACTCACCAGCACAGAACGCGCAGACATTCTCCTGGAAGTGAAACCTGACGGATTCTTGAGAGTGGTTGACAATGTACGTCTGGCCGTCCCAGGCACACACAACCACTTCGTCCTGCCCATCGCACTAAGACCAGGACACAGGAAAGCTTTAGAACAACTGGCTGTCACTTATTGGAACCAGAAGTAGAAAACAGTGTTGCCACAGAAATCTTAAAGGCAGTGTAGATCATTTGCAGCTATCCAAAAAGTAACTGACAATAATAATAATAATAATAATAATAATTTGGGAGGCTAATCATCCTTACTGGCAGCTGGTGTGCTGAATTGCGAAGGACGCGGCTACAACGTGGTCGGGCCGCTGGCACGTAAAGGCGCCTATGGCTGCCGGCCACATCAACCCATATATGACCACAGAGCACAGCCTGAGATCGAAAGAGTTTGATTTTTCCGGAGGGAGGAAAACCGGAGGGCCCGGAGAAAAACCCTTGTGGCACAAGGTGGCATTTAAAGGATTCGAACCGTGGTCACCTTGGTGAGAGGCGAGCGCTTTACGCACAAGCCACCCATGCCACCCAAAATTATTGTTGAAAGGCCTTCTTGGTTTGAAGATAGTAATGGCAATACACTCACTCCCTGTGAAATTATTCTTGCCGTCATTTTGAAGGAAACAATAAAAGAACGCAATTTCCAAAGCTGCGTCAAGAGATTTCCGTTAGTAGTTGGTTTGCAGTTAATAGTAGTTGGTTTGCAAATCCGTGACGCGTGCTCACACAGTTGATATTATTTGTCGGTTCAATGCGCAACATCGCATACAGTGCAGCTCCAATCAACTTGTCCCGAATACTGACTTTTGAATTGAAATCAAGATCCTAGATTATTGTTTTCTCGGGATATACAGCGTTCACTCAGCTAGCACTTCCTTGGGCTAGTTGTAAAGCACCTTTGTTTATATTTTGAGCACTTCTGTTGCTTCAAACGAAATAAATGCACCAGTGATAAATGATCTATCCTACCTTTTATTTGAAATTCTTAGACTTTTCCAGGACAAAATTGGGGCTTTCCACGACCAATTTCTACGCTGTTTTGGCATCGTAGGAGCCTATTTACAATACACTGGCCGGTCATCACACTGAGGCAAGGGACGCCACTCCCTTTCAGCCATCCAGTTTGACACAAGACCTCTGAGCACCATAAAGGCATCACAATGGTGCACTGAACATGCAACAAGTTTATTCATAAGATTGAATTTTGCGTCGGGGTGAAATAAATTCACGATTGGGCTTTGCCTTTCACCGACTTATAAACACTACACACTCAGTGTGTTACCCACGAGTGAAAGTTGGAAAAAATCACATGGGTGGGTCTCGGAACCCACGACCTCCGGCTTTCTGGTGCAGACGTCTTACCACTCGACCACCGAGCTTGCGAGATCAGCTGGCTGGTTCGAATCTGATGTAGCTGCGGGTACCGCAGTGAAACTATTCAAAAGATGGTCACGTAACAAGTTGTTAAAGATACAGTCCATCATTTGTAATTTGTGCATTTTGTCCATTTGAAGCAACAAAAGTGTCCAAAATCTAATGAAGGATACTAACAACTAACCTGATGAAGTTTCAGCTCAGCTTCAGCTGTATGTTCCGAGAAAAACAGCATTCTAGGATCTCAATTTCAAATCAAATGTTGCTGAATCATGTTTTGAATTGGACCTGAATTTAGCGCCGCGACGATTGCAGCTATACGTGATGTCGCGCACTCATCCGACAAATTATAGCAACTGCGCGCGCGTGTGCGTCGTGCCAATGCTTGCGCACGCTTCACCGAATAACAAAAAGAACTACTAATTTAAATTTTCCTACTGCCTCTTAACGCACCGTTGAAAAAGCCTTTTTTCGTTGATTACTTCAAAATGACAGCTTGCCAGAAAGAAAAATTTCACAGGGAGTTTAGTCCCCTTACTATCTTTCAACCAAGTATGTTTTTCAACAATAATTACGCCAGTTACTTTTCGGATGGCTGCAAATGGTGGACTATAGCTTTAAGGATGTGTATAAACACCACTTGACCTAGGTCAGAGGTCACACGTAATAGGATCAAGGTCATGATGACCTCTTACAGTCCATCATCTAAGCCTAACTTTGATCCTCCTAAAGTGGAGATGATTAAGCCTGATGTGTACTCACATTGATATCAAATTTTGTCAGAGCGAAGAGTTGATGGTCAACTAGCAGTGACCACAGGATTTTATCCTCCTCAATCATCATTAAGGTGCCTGGATTATGTGGAAGTAGGATTTCAGAAAAAAAACCAATATGAACATAAAAAATGTATTGCTCCTTAAAAAGTTAGATTTTTAGCTGCGGGATAGCAGCTTAACAAATCATGTCTCTCCGTTAATTAGTCCGTTAGTTAGTTAGTTAGTAACAAACGTTGACATTGTCTATTGCTCCTACATATTGTGACCGATTTCAACCAAACTTTGTCAAAAGTATCAGTGGCCCAGCCCCAACATGTCACATGACCAAACTGGGGTCAAAGGTCATCATGGGGTAACTGTGGTCAAAAATTGTAACTCAAAACACTACCATATGACTACTCCTTGCAGAAATTACACGGCACAATCAAGTGACTCATGCATGAACACCAATTCGTTGGCTCGCAGCTTCCGAGATATTTCCAATCGAGCCATTTCTGACAATGACAGCAAAAGCAAAAGTTGTCCTCCCATATCAAGAACTTACCATCTAGAGTGCACATGGCCATTCTACTGGGCACGGGGTCCTTCCCTCCATGTGCGTTAGTCCGATCTTCGCAGTCGGCTACCATCAAACAAAAGAATCGATTAAACCTACAGCTTGACAATAGGCCAAAAAAAAAATAAGTCGGTCTCTGGTCAGCGCGCGCGTCGATTTTAATCATGCGCGTCGATCTTTTTTTTTTCCAAAATGTTCCGCGGTAGCTCCAACAGCGTCCTCTATTTCCGCACCTCCTCAATTTTTTTTACCAAAGAGCACCAAGGAATGGGAAATTGCACCAAGGCAAATGATCGAAAGCACCAAGGCAAATTATGGAGGACACCAAAAAAGCAAAATAGTACCCCACCTTGTCTGTACAATCCAAGCTTGAAGAAAAAAAAAGCAAAAAAAGCAAAAAAAAAAGCCGCGTCGCCGCGTCAATTCCGGAACTTTGGTCTGACCAGAGATTGAATATATTTTTTTTTGGGCCTTAAGGTGTTTATCTTCAAGAATATCCGAGACTTTAACGGCATTCTGTTTAATTATACCTGTTTATTTGTTAACCAATAACATGCATAGGGAGGATCTTTTTTTTTAAGCACTTTATTTTAAAGTTGGTTTATGCATGTTTTTTCAAACTTTTGATTTCCTTTTCCGAACGAACTTTAACGGAATATCATATCCTGTAACAAAAAAAAAAAGCTTGTTTGTTTTTGCAGGCCTTTATACGGTTTTAAAAATTGGTTTTAAATTGTCTCATTGGAAAGCTCATAGCTAATGTAATGCCAGAAAATTATCAATTCAATTTGAAAATCTATTTTTCAAGGTGCCACACCCAAAGAGTATGTATATACCAACTTTTTGGCCAAACGTGGCAAAAAGAGGAATCGCGGGATGAAATAAACATAAGGAGGCTGTTGAGAAGAAACTAAATGAACGAGTGGAAACTCACCTGAGCGACAGATTCTGCCGACCAATTCCGTGGAGACGTTGGCGTTGCGAGCCCGCTTGTTGGTGATGGGATGCCACTTCACATAGGTCTCGCTTTTACTGCTGTGTAGGTATGAAAAGGACGATGATCTGGGGTCAAATTTACAGAGCTTTTAAGCATAGAACAACACAGCACAGGGAAGAAATTATTTTCCCTGAAAAAAAAAACCAAACTGCGTAATAAGCCAGTTTAAATATTACCTTTAAAGGGAATGTACATTTGCTTTTGCTGTAATTTTTACAAATAAATGGATTTGGAGGATTAGTATGTTATAGAAAATATTATTAAACTGACTTGTTTCACGTTTTGGGCTTGTAGACGCTGGAAAAACCAAGAAAACCTATCATGTTCTTGTAGTCTGGTTCCCTGACCCCACTTAAGATGAAACGAAGCAATTAATACACTTGGGGAATTGTAGGCTCAGAGAATCAGTCTAGCAGGCTTGTACCCCTTCACAGGTGTGTAATCAATTGCAAAGAAAAGTCAGAATAACTAAATATGAAAACTTAGGCAAAAAAAAAAAAGTCTCCGGTTTCTGGTATGCGCGCGCGTCGCCGTAGCCATGCGCGTCGGCAAAATGAAAAAGTTTTTTTTTCAATGAAAGATGATGTCTCAAAACCGCCAAACTCACTGGTTTGACTGGAATCCTGCTGCTGCACAATTTTAACGTGTTTTTAGATTGGGTTATGGTCGAGAATAAGCTTTATGTGGCCTCTCTGGACTCCCATATATTTGCACTAAGTTTAGTCGGGCACCATTTGCAGTCATCAGCCGACATTTGAAGCAAAAAAATCAGGTAAAAAAAAAAAAAAAAGCCGCGTCGCCGGACCACTTTTGGGCAAGCTCCATACCAGAAACCGGAGACTTTTTTTTTTGGCCTAAAGCGCCGCAACGTTTCAATTAAAATAACATCACAGTCGTGTGTGCACGTGCATAGGTCCCCCCCCCCCCCCCCCCCCGAATATTCAAACCGGCAAAAAGCTATTTGAATATTCAGTTGATGGTCGAATATTCGGTATACTGGGGACAGCCTTACCGAGAGGATAGAAACGTCATGCCTTCCAAACTTGAAATTATAACATAATTGTATTTCTGAATATAGACTCATCCATCTCCATATTTATCATGGAGGCCCCCTTCCATGGCGACAGCATTGTGCTAGCTATTGTTCAGATAATCCATCAAGCAGCAGTTGCCTTGTACAATAGCATGCACAATGGTTTCTCCATTGCAGGGGCCTCGTGAGTGTGCAGTGATAACATGCCCCGATTTGTCTATAGTTTTTGACATGTAAATGATCGGTGCATTTTATTCCAAAAAGGTTCTTATACCTATTGGGACCGGTGACCTCCTCCACGTGACCTTTGACCCAGCTACAGAGGAGCTCTGCATAGTTGCATCCAGGCTGGGAGACAATCAGCTTGGGCTGTCCGTCTGGGTGTCTGCTGAGGGACAGGGAACCAATCTAACAAAATATAAATAAAAAAAACCCTTAAAATCAAAGTGCACTACATTCACGTTGTGCAAACCCGACCCGACCCGAAACTTACTTCGGGTCCTGTCCATCATTTCAGTCGGGTTGGGTTGGTTTTGGTGTTGTGTTTGAGATTTTTGGGTCGGGTCGGGTCGGTTAAGCCATCTTGTGAAAAAGATGAAGAAAAAAAAAGATACAAAAAAAGAAAAGGCAAAACAGTTCGCAAATTCATGCGGTGCAATATAATTGCAGAGTTACTGTGCCTGTTACGACCAACGTCAACACACTGCGCGAATGTGCATGTGGTTTGCGGTCTATCACGTATAAAACGATTAAACTAATGAGTCTTCACCGTACCGTACGGTATGATTCTTTACTGAGAGACGACAATTTTTACGCGACGCGGGTAAGTTCAGGCACAAAAAGTATACACAGTTGCCCAAGCCAGATATATTCGTTTTTTTTGGGTCGGTTCGGTTTCGGGTAGGTTTTTGCCTGATTTTTGTCACGTCGGTCAGGTCGGTTTTGGGGAGTTCAGATCGGTTTCGGTTCGGATTCTGTTTACATCTGAGATGTTTCAGGTCGGTTTGGCCTAGCCAACCCGAACCAATGCACAACATTATACTAAAGCCTTTCATCAGTAGCATATTGAACTGGAGTCCCATTTGCAGGTGGGCACTTGGGGGAAAGTTTTCTGGAGGGAGACGCACTTGGTCAAACATGTGGAATCAAGCATTTGACCTATCGCTGTTTGTGAGTTAGCCACGCCCCTTAGACAACCCTATGGAATTTTTGTATACTAAGTTTTGATTGTCTCAGATTTTGCACGTATATAAGGTGATTGGGCAATATTTCACAAGCTGCGTTGACGCGATTCTAATGCGGTTCTACAGCGGTAGGTCAATACAAAGCCATCTTTTGCCCTCTCCAACTTCTGAGAGGGGCCACACTGCTGGACAAGTTACGCCACTGGCCCACTACGCATTCATGCTGAGTACTTGAGAAGTGTCTCTAATACCTGTCCATTCAGGTGCCACTTCTGAAGCAAAAGAAACTTGCCGGGTACGAAGGGACATGATTCCTGTAAAAAAGCAAACAAAGTACGAAAGAGTTTTAAAACCATTCCCCCCCCCCCCAACAAACTGCAAGGGCATCATTTTTTCACTTTAATTTAAAGCCAGAGTCCATCATTTGCAGCTATCCGAAAAGTAGCTGGCGTAATTATTGTTGAAAAACATACTTGGTTGAAAGATAGTAAGGGAACTAAACTCCCTGTGAAATTATTCTTTCTGGCAAGCTGTCATTTTGAAGTAATCAACAAAGAAGGCCTTTCCAACGGTGCTTCTTAAGACGCACCGTAGGAAAATTTAAATTACTAGTTCGTTTTGTTATTCGGTGAAGCGCGCGCAAGCATTGGCACGACGCACACCCACCCCCGGTTGCTATAATTCGTCGGATCGGTGCGCGACATCACGTAGCTGCAATCGGCTCAGCGAGAACGTGTCTCGGACGCTGAATTCAGGTGCAATTCAAAACATGATTCAGCAACTTTTGATTTGAAATTGAGATCCTAGAATGCTGTTTTTCTCGGAATATACAGCTGAAGCTGAGCTGAAACTTCATCAGGTTAGTTGTTCAGTACCCTTCTTTAGATTTTGAGCACTTTTGTTGCTTCAAACGAACAAAATGCACAAATTTCAAATGATGGACTATATCTTTAATCTTCGGTGAAACAGTGAAAAAAATTGTTCTCTGGGCTCCGTGCACAAGTACCCCCTCAATGACAAGAAAGGGAGAGTTATTTGGGGAGACAACTAAGAGAGATGTCCAACAGTATTACTGATGATGCCGGACAAAAATGCGCAAAGATGCTATGGCTCCCCGCACATCCAGAATCAAATTTGTCGCGCATGTTTTGCAATTTGCAAATGATGGATGCTACTTTTAATTCAATTTTTTGTAGGTCTCTCATGTTTTACTGTTTAAATATATATTTCTATGGATACTGTAACGAAATATTGCTTCGCGCACTGGGCTTCCGTAGCTGCTGAGCGCTGGTGCGCGGGCTGCGTTCCGTGCGGCAGTGCTGGTGCTCTGCGTGCAGTGTATATAAGCGCGCTGCACGTGCGTCGCGGGCGTCTTTCCGCTGCTTGCTCTTGCTCCGTGCGGACGAAAGCAAGTAAGCTCTGCCATTGCTCGCTGGCTGTTGGATTGGTGGGATTAGGCTGTACCGCGTGAACCCTAGTTGCGGGGTAAGTAGCTGCGTCTTAGGCTTATCGGTCCCGATGTCTATTGTAATTACCCGATTGGTGATTGTTTGTGATTCTTAATTATAAAGTCCCCAAGAGATATAACATTATTGGTGTACGAATCAACCCTGTAATCAGCGCCTATATAGGAACCTGTGAATTACTTCGAATAAATCAACCAGTTCAAGTATATAAGCCAGGTGTGGTGCATAATCTTTGACGTGTCTGTGTGGTGAGCGTGTGTGCGTGGCGTGCAGACCTAGGTGCCTGGAGGTAGACTTCCCCCAAAACGAGTCCGCCCCTCAGGCCTCTCTGCGGTTACCGCTCGTCGTGGAGGCCGAAGCCCATTATTTAGTCAGCGGCAGACGCTGCCTGGTAAAGTCCGCTACAATACTATATGTAACTTTTTACTGATTGCACATAGGAGATCATATCTCATGTAATTTTTTACGTGACTAATAAAACGAATCTTGATCTAGATCTTGCAAACTGAATGGCATGGTAAAAAGCGCCCTCTCGTGTTCATGAACTAAGCCCATTATTTGGATTACAGAAGCAACCTAAGTGGTCCATGGCTGCAACGTTCATTTCCCTGTTCTAGCTCGCAATAGCATCATAACTTTGAACGTGATCACTAGCTACAATATAATATATGTACAGGTTTTATAAATCCTCCACCCATTGCCTCAGTATCCAAGTTATGACAAACATCAATTTGGTTTTATTTTTAGTTTTTTTGTCATTGATTTTGGCCCAAATACAATACCAAGGCCACCCAAAAGCATGGGCTACAAACTAGAAGAACAAAAATGCCAAGAAAATAAAGGCACAGTAACAGAAAGTACTGTTCAAATTTCACTTGAATTGTGAAAGATTATTGATACATATGAAGCTAGCCAGAGTCATGGTTCCAAAGAGAGGCAGTAAGTGGGTAAAACAAAACATGGAGGAATATTTCACAGTGCTACTCATGGATGTGATGAGGCAGAGATTTGAGTAGATCGAAAAAAAACCCACAAATGTTTACCAACTCACATTAGACGATGGCAGTTGTTTGTCTACCCAGCGATAGGCACTCACTACTCGGTCCGTGTGACCAACAACAAATTCCATCTTACCATCTCCGTCTGCAAATGGAAACAAAACAATAATGCAACTAGGAACACGTTCGAGGGAGGACTACATCGACGGTGTTTTCACGAAGTGACAAAAACCTCAATATCATGCAAAAAGGTCATTCCGAGATAATCGCCTTGGAAGTTAATCATTTTTTTTTCAAAACACCTTTTCGACAGGTTTTTAGTTATGGATTTAGGAAATTCTTGCATTGTCAAGTAACGTATGCTGTGTTCTTTGCTGATTCAAAGTTATTTATCAGAAATCTCTCTTGATTAAACTGTAATTCATTAATAAAGATCAATTGAAGTTTTTATCAGTTCGTGAAAACAGCAAAACACAGAGGCCTCACTTTTTTGTCCCATGAAGTTGTACACACTCTTCGTCACTTCGTGAAAACATAAAACGTTCTAAGAAATTGTTACATTTGCGCGTCTGACGTCACTGCAGCGCGCGCCCGTCTGTTCTTTATCGACATCGTTCACGGCGTGCGCGTCCACTCCCACCCTAACGCGTGTGTGGAGAAATGCATTATTCCTCTGGCCCTGCTAACGAGGTAAGTTTTTGTCACTTCGTGAAATCAGAAAAACACGGATTTCAGGTATTTTGTCGAATGTTTGTTTACGATAATCACAAAAATATTTCGCTTTGAAACTCGGCCACATTCTTCTTTTTGTCAAGTGCAATAAATTGGCCAGCAAAACCCAAAATCGTGAAAACATTGTCGACATGGTTAACCTTAGGTCGGCCTCAGGTCGACCAGCGATTTGCTTGGCCTCGACGGAACCGTCAGCATCAAGCAGAAACATAATGCTCAGGTCACAAAATTGAGAAATCATGTGATTATCGTGGAACAAGCGGCATCTCGACACAAAATAATTGCAATCGTGCTCACGTCACCCGTGAAGCGATGACTATACCTCGGCATAGACGTGATCATGTGACGTCTTCAAAATGGCGGAGTGCGTGTTGATATCACCATCAATTGTAACGTCGTTGTTATACAAATAACGAATGTTTGTGAGTGCAATGGTAAGAATAATTTCATGAGGTGACAGATTGAATGTTCTATTCCACGAGGCGAAGCCGAGTGGAAAAGAACATTCAATCTGTCACCAAATGAAATTATTCTTTCCATCGCACGAACGTAAAACATTCGTTATTTGTTTTATACAACACCTGAATACATTCTCCAATCGTCGGACAGCATACTGAATCTGTCTTTTCGTACTGGGAGCGTCTGAGTTAGTTACAAGATCTGTTATTTCTTCATCTGTAAGGAGCATAAACCCTCTACTACAATCGCCTGCCATTTTGTTTGTTTACGCAAAGTAGCTATGTGTATAGCGCCGCCAGTCGAAGGCATTCGTCCTTACTGCGCATGCGCAAAGTGAAACGGTATAACGCATGGTCGCACCGTGCATTATACCGAATAATAATATGTCACGTGATCTACAATTCACCAATCAGATGACGGGGATTTATTCAGGTGTTAAAACTTCATAAAGGCTGCAATTGATTCCTGCCTGCTGACCGTCTTGACCCTAACCTTCCCAAATCCATCAAAATCCATTCCCCCATTTTGGGGATTTTGGTGGGCAAACCACGAGTACCAAGTCCAACACAATCCACCTACATATAGCAGTGGTGGTCTTGTGGTGAATTTCAGCGGATTTGGTTCTAAAGCATAACGTGAAGCAGGGTCAGTGATGGATTTTGGCGGACTTGGTCCAGTACTTAGTGAAGGACACTAGGGAGTTAGGGTTAATATCGTCGCAGTTACACTCAGGTCGCAAAAAAAATTGGCGACTGATATGTTGCCCGGCTTCATCTATAATTGGATACTTTTTTTTCCAGTTCATCATCTCAGTCTAATGCAAGACGACGACCCACCTATGTCATCAATGAGAACCACCTTGATGTTGGCTGTGAGATGCTGGGTGTGGCAGGGTGTTAAGATGGTGTCATCACTGACGATGTCTGCCTCAGCTAGCTCCTGACAGAAAGCAATGATCAAAAACAAGAACTAATTTACACAAAATATGTCTGCTTTAGTGAAGAGAAGTTCCTCTTTACAGCCAAAATAATTGCCATCAAAAATGTGTACCCCTTGGAATTATTTTCAACTCCATGGAGTAATCTAATGGCTGAAGATGGCTGTTACTCGGCAAAAGAAAAGTCTAAAATATTGTGCCTTATTAGCAGTTCCATGTAATTGGACCATTTCAGGCAGTATTTTTTTCCCAAAATTCTAAAAGCCCTGTTATCTCTTTGATAGAAGACAACACCATGTAGCACACCCCCATTTACCTAATCACATCTTTAACTTCACTGCCAAAATTGAGCCTTAGCGCCACACACTAATGTGTTGTGATTCACAGAAAAGCCACACATACAGGGATCAGGACCTGATCATCTACTCTGTCCAGAGATGAAACTGGCCTTGGCAAAGAAAATCTGAAATTGGACCTTGGATCGGAGCTGCCACAGCATCGCGCAGTGCAGTTCAGCGCAGCGCATCAACGTGAGACCCAGTGAATTTTTCCATGTCATAGGTCAGTATTTAACCTTTTCTCTAGCCGGAAAAGGATCTGATCAGCGTTAGCCTAGGTGTGTTTCTACCATAGAATTACTCCGGTCACGACTGGTGTGTTCACTGACACGTTTTTTTTTTAAATTATAATAAAAAAAAATTGTGGAAAAATCGTTAAATAACTTTTTTTTGTGGGATTGTTAAAAGATCTGAAATTTCTGTGGAAAAGTAAAAAAATCTGATTTCAGATTAAAATCTGAAAAGTTTCATCTCTGTCTATCCTTGCCTTCCACCACTGTGACCCTGATTCCCATCTGGGCCTACACATGGATTGGGTTTTCAGTCCCTTTTCCTTGGCATGAAACGACTGAGAATATTTCTATTCCCCTTGGATGAGATGCCGGTCCATCGCAGGTTACTCCCCAGCTAATGCCGGCACCCATTTATACTCCTGGGTGAAGAGAGGCAAGTTTGGGTGAAGCGGCTTGCCCAAGGACACAACATATGGCCAGCGGCTGGATTTGAACCCCTGACCCTCTGATCATGAGTCACAAACCCTAACTACTAGGCCACACACCCGAATAACAAGAAAATTGCCAAATAACAAGAAAATTGCCAAATAACAAGTAGATAAATTTTTAAATACATACATGTACCTCTGTTTTAGCTGCTGGTACTCTGTAAAATATACTGCAAAGGCCCTCCCCGCTTATGGTTACCAAGCAGTTCTGAAGAAAAAACATTGTATGTAAATTGTACTGAAACTTCTTTGTCTTATTGGTACAGCATGTCCCAAAATACCTGCAGCATTTTTTGGTCATGTTTGTGAGGCTCTATCATCGCCGTGGAAACACGTACCGCCATTATTTTTGTATCAGTTTAAAGCTTGGAATCTTAACTTTATCCCTAGTAAGTATCGGTTCGATTTTTTAAAGGGTTTTGAAATGATTTGTGTTCAAAGAAAGGCATGTCAAAAATAAACTCAACCGATTACGAAAAAAATCAATCATGCATATTTTTTCTAATGTGGAAATGGTTCGTCATGTTCATGATGTGACAATCTCGTTACCTTTTACTTTCTGTGTTTCCTATTCTTTTCGATCCACATAGACTATACCTTAAATAAATTCACAATATTGTTCTTCATTCAAGTTCAATTTTGAAATTCACGTGCAAGTATACCTATTCAAAAAGCGCGCTCACACTGTGACTCGAGTTGGCACCTGATGTACCGCATCATAAATTTTCCTTGAAATCGGTTGAGTTCGTTTTCGGCATGCGTTTGTATGAACACAAATAATTTTAAAACTCTTTTAAATATCAAACCAATACTCGCCAGGGATAAAGTTCAGATTCCAAGTTTTAAAATGGAATAAAAACAACGGCGGTACGTGTTTCTGCGCCGATGCTACAGCCTCGCAAAACCAGTTGCGTGTATTTTGCTACGTATTGTACAGTCATGAATACCGATGATTTTTAAATACAGGGATAACACAGCCTTTTAGTAAAAAAGAAATTCTGAGATTTAAAAATTTGGAATAGAATTTGCAATGTCTCAATAAAATGTGTTAATTGTACTTGAGATGTGAATATTTCTGTACCTTTCCAGAGTTGCAGATATCACCAACACCAAGGCACGTTATCTGTAATCACAGATTGAAATAAACGTAAAACTTGAGAAAACTTTCAATGAAAATACATCAGCTTTCAATGAATGCAGTATTTCACACAAAAATAAGGGGAAAGTTTAAAAATCTGACATTTGTTGTGCATGGGAAATTGTGATACACAAGAAGAATGTCGTATCCTGTACAAAGTCTACATATGGAGAGTTGAATGCATTTTCAATAAAATTTTCTAATAGCAAAATTGGAAATGTTTCTCAGTCCAAGTATCATGTCTTTTCAATATTTTTGCAGTGACTTCCCTCCACTGAGATGATACAAATGTATACAATAAGAAAGTGGCGTCAGGATGCAACATTCTTTTCTTAAAAGGGTATTTATTTATTTTACTCATTATGGTTTTTTTTTTGGGGGGGGGGGGAAGGGGGGAGGTGGGGGGGGGGGAGGGAGGATGCTAGTCTGAGTATCACCCGTTGTCCACGGAGCCGTATCTCTGGTCCAACTGATTTATCTAGTCATGCAAATGTATGTGACCCCGCGCGCCAGCCAATTGAAGCCGGCTTTAAATCGTGACGTCATTTTATTCCGAAATGTGGACTAAGTTTTTGATTGGTCAATACGGATGCAGTGTTTTTGTATCACAACAATGGGCAGGCATAAATCTACAAAACTTAAAGGGAATATACAACATTTGCAAACATCGAAAAATAAAACTACCAAGTTTTTACGAAATACCTTACTAGGATGTTGGTAAATGACAGTCTCAAGCATCTTGTAAAATTATGGCACCTGGTGTGAAGTCATTTTCAAGAAAATCGTATTTTTGTAAACATTTCCAACGGTGGTCGGCCGACCAGCGTTGGAAAAACCTAACTATTTTTCAACTACTGCTCCAAATTTACCATTTTTTCAGTCCAAATTTTGTTTGCTATTGGTTACATGTTCATGAACGGGTGCAGGCCAGCTAGACTGGTTCCCTTGCCTTACAATTTTCCATCATCTATAAATTGATCCATTTTATATTTAGTGGAGTCAGGGAACCAGACTATTTGAACATTTTTTTTTTTTGTTGGTTTTTCCAACCTTTTCGAAACAAAACTTCAAAAATGTCAGTGTAACAATATTTGTCTATTATACTAAAACCTCTCAAATACATGTAGTTCATTTCTGAAAATTACAGCAAAAGCCAATGATGCACATTCCCTTTAAACCAACATTGGCTCTATCATAAGCTTGGTGCATCGCATAACATCATCGATATACAGAGCGCCTGACTAGGCTGTGTGTAGGTTTATAGATGTCCATGACGCGACAACAGGTACATACAAAACTACATAACCTGAAGACCCGTAGAAAACACCCGCTGAATGGTTTCAGGTTTCAGGTTTATTTCCATACTATAAGGTAATTAAGTTAAATAATAAACATCAGGTAAACATTTTAACGGAACTTGAAATAATAGCATGGGGAGGCCAGACAAGAAGCCGAAGCTTGCACTAGGTCTGCCCCCTTCACAAAGAATACATGTAGTTCTACAATTCATGAATAATCATAGGATATATCAATAATATGTGATTACATTAAATTCACGAGCTCATGCAAAACTTTACAAAAAAAAAGAATAAGTTACTTGAAGTAAATTTACCATCCTTGGCTTTACATGTGTTGTTAATCATTTTACTTGGCAATAAAGTAATAATTTTGCTCTTAATCACCATTGATATTAGCCGTAGTGAGAAGTAGTTTTTTATAATACAATTTACATGCTCTAATTGAGGTCATTGGGCAGAGAGATCAAATTTTATTGCAATGGTCAGAATGTCAAGATCAAGATGCAGTTTTTTTTGCATAATCAATCGCCGAATCTGCCCACATATCACAGACCCAAGCCTAGGTAACAACTCCTGGTCAACTATCCAATTTATATTTTTTCGTTTTTCAGCACTTACACAAATACACACCATAATACAGATGAAAAACCAACCAGCAAATTTCAGACAACATACCATGCCCAAGTTGGAGCAGGTTGCCCATGGTTGCGTGTTGTTCCCCTTGAAGACGCTAAGTTCTCCCTCAGCATTTCCCACCAGCAGCTCATTTTCCTGAAGATTAAAAAAGTAAACTCGTAGCAACTCCTTCATACAAAAACCTTGCTAAGCAAAAACCTTGGGTCTGACTAGCTGCTAAGCACCGTCAATATCAGATTTTCAATAATCGATGTATCGGAAATCCAATATCGAGAATATTCGATACGTCGATTATCCCGTGTAAAAGTTAAAGACAAAAGATGACACTTTGATTAAATTTTTTTTGTTAAGTCCTAATTTTCCACGGCCTTCTCTGGAGCATGTTGCTCAAACTTTTTAAAACGAATCTCAGCGCTGAGAGTTTGTCCAGAATGGGTGGTTTCTTTTGAGGTTTTACATTGGGGGAGACTGCGAATTCCAACGAACGCAGAGCACAAAGCGATGCCGCTTAGCATCTAAGCTTACAATGTTTTTATTTTGAGTCACAAGCACAAGTTGTCCCCGAGTTATATTACACAGCAAACGTTAAACACAAACATGGGAGATATATTTTGACGATAATCCGACACATTTTCAATATTTTCTATATGATTCCTCAATATCGAAAATGTCGATATTTTAATATGATCACTTTATTATAACATGTCTAGGCCTAGACCATGTAGTCCCTATTTATGGAATAAAGTTCAATTGTTATTTAATATTAAAAAATAATATATTTGCACAGTAGGCCTAGGCCTAGTAACTTTTCCATGCAGTGACCTGTCTGCCATCAGAAAGTGATTAACCACTGACATGGGCGTCGCCAAGATTTTTTCTAGAGGGGGGCAAAATTTGTTTTGCCAAAAAATGCTTGTATTTCTCAACACATTCTCGATTTATCAGTTTTAGAGGGGGGCAGGGACATTTTGCCCCCCCCCTAACTCATTAAATTTATACCACTTTGTCTTCGCGCCTCTTTTTCTTTTCTTTTTTTTCCTTTTTTTTTTTCTTTTCCGGGGGGGGGGGGGGGGGGAAAGAATGTTGTGTTGCATCCCGACACCACTTTTTCTTCATATGTTTTGTACGCCTATCATCTCAATAAAGCCAAAGGCCAGTTATTGCAAAAATGTTGAAAAAAACATGAATCAGGGACTTAGACATGTTAGAATTGTTTTGTTAGGAAATACTCAGAACATTTTTTGGACTCTCCTGAGACTTTGTACACAGCCGCTGAAGTGGCATCAGGCAATGTCAGGATGTTTTTTTACTACACTCTTTCCGTCAAATTTAGCAGGGAAAATATTGAACTTGAAGCATTTACTGAGAAAACACTTGGAATTTGGAAAGAATTCCATATACAGACGTTACTCGATATGCTTGACACCCGTGTACAAGTATGACTGAGACTAAATTGTTCAGACTAGGCGGTAGTAGGCCTATAGTCTATAGGCCTAGTCTGAAAAATTTAAAGTGTTTTCTCACTCATCATGCTCATGTGCCACTAAATGCTTCAAAAAGTTTAATATTTTCCCTGCTAAATTTGACTGTTTAGGACATGGCTGATTGGTCATTGCAGGGAAAAATTAGTGACGTCCGTATATGGAATTCTTTCCTTAGGCTCCAGAAGTATCTCAGTCATACATAGGGTTTGTGCACAGCACATACATGTAGCACTGTGTAGTGTCAAGTGATGTCCATACAGAGTATGGAACTCTTTCCAACTTCCAAGTTCATGAACTTCTTAACTTAAGCTTACATTGTCGTTATCAACGTCCCCCAAAACTACAGCATTTGGAAACACGTTCCCGGAAAACTCGAATTCCAAGCGCTCTACAAATACTACTGATCGCATCTTTTTGTTTCACCTATCAATCTGCTCATGTCGAGTGAGAAACAAGTCGAAAATGTTGTTACATTTGGGAGGCAGACGACATTTTTCTCTCTGCATCCAGTATGCAATAAATACAGTCGTATACCCCGACTCGTCAACCAGTTTGCTAGTCTGGTTCAGCTGACCTGATAATTTCCCCCGACGCCCTAGCCTTTAGTCAAGTCCCACGCGCTTACCTGGACACGTGACGCACCCCGGATGCTGACACGTAAAAAGACTAGGACGAGCGGCGTAGCGCTTTGCCGCTCGTGCTAGTCTTTTTACGTGCCAGCATCCAGGGTGCGTTACGCGTCCGGATGGTCCGGGTATAGGCGCGTGGGACTTGACTAAAGGCTAGGATGAACCGTGAGGTGAAGCAGAAGCGGTAAGGTGAAGGAGATTTAAGTTATCCTCTCGAGTTTGGACATAAAAGGTCGCCTGGGTTTTTTTTTGCCCCGCCCACCCTCCTCAGCAAGGTTGCTTGTTCGGACTCTGGTTTCTACTCTCGAATCTTTCTTCCCCATAGGCAGGGTGTGCATGGACTTATAAAAAGCCTATATAGGGTCATTTGCTTTTCATGCATATTGGTTGTTTCCAATAATAAAACGGGTAACACCACTCAAATTCTGTCAAAGTTTCAGCTCAGTGGATAGTACACTTTTCGAGAAAACAATACACATGATCGCGACACACGATTTCGTCAATAGCACTTTTTTTTCTTCAAAAGTCAGTTAATATTAACTGATCGTTGGGATTCACCTACAATAAATTTCACGGGGTGTACGGTACTAGTCTATAATCCAAGACTTAGTAAGCTTGTCGATAATGAGTCGGTATTTACTTTTCGGATAAATGCAAATGATATGCCTATTTAACAAACGATATTGGTAATATACGAGACATTTCGATGTACGGTACTTTATCACGGATAATTATGAGGAAAAAAAAGAAGACATTTGGAGAGGACCAAGTGTAGGTAAAATAAACGGAAATAAGTTTTGATGTGTTTGATGTTTCCCCTTAAATTCTGTTTGTGTCATTACTGACCTCTTTGCGGCTGGCTTTGTATGAGAAAACAAAACTGTAGAAAGGACCAAGGGTGGGTTAAATAAACGGAAATAAGTTTTGATGTGTTTGATGTTTCCCCTTAAATTCTGTTTGTGTCATTACTGACCTCTTTGCGGCTGGCTTTGTATGAGAAAACAAAACTGTAGAAAGGGCCCAGTGCATGGGTAAAATAAACGGAAATAAATTTGGATGTGTTTGATGTTTCCTCTTAAATTCCGTTCCTGTCATGTGACTAATTCCGTAATTCATGTAGCTCCCATCTTTGCTGCTTTTTTTCTTTCTTTAAAGTAGTATCGATACATGTCACATGCCTCCCCTCAACCTTGAAGTGGCATCATCATCATTGAATTATGTCAACACATACGAGGAAAGCAAGTGAAAACAAAATACCTGTATGTGCCAACTTGCACAGATGGGGTTGGACCAACTTCATTATGTGCAGTGGCGTAGCCGGGGGGGGGGGGGGGGGGGGGGGGGGGGGGGGGGAGGGCGGATCCAGGGGGGGGGGCCAAAGGGGGCCATGGCCCCCCCCAAAAAAAACGAAACCAATTTTTTTTTTTTTTATGTGACATCGCAATAAAGGCAGGCAATGAGTACACCACCATCTTTTCCTCAAAAAACATTGGTTAAGGTGGTCAGAAATTGCCTCAGATCGCACCACAGAGCATCTAGAATCCAAAAAAAAATTCGGGGCCCTTAAGCGGGCCCCGAACCCCACGCCGTAATTTTTTGACCCACTTTTTTGGGGGAGCAAAAATTTTTTTTTGGCCCCCCCCCAAAAAAATTGTGTTCTGGATCCGCCCTTGGGGGGGGGGGGCGTGGGGGGCGAAACCTTGTCGCCCCCCCCCCCCCCCACTGAGATTTTGAGTTCGTAAAAAAATATCATTGATCTACATGACGCCCCCCCCCATGATATGTTCCAGCCCCCCCCCCCCCCCCATGAAAAATTCCTGGCTACGCCACTGATTTCGTATTACACATTAGGGATTAACGATTTGTGCAAATTAGGCACCCTTCCCAAAAGAATTTCAGGTGTCACCCCTTTAAAATATCTTCTCTAAGGCTATAACAACATATTTGCTAAGTTTGGTGCTTTGGACCAGTTGGTCACGATCTTGTCAAATATTGGGTCTAAGCCACCTGACTATTATAAGTTATAGGCCTACGCACGCACCGCGGTACTCCAGTAATTTTCCTAATTTCTGGTAGTATTTAACGGCATACATTCCGCCCAATCAAGCAGTTTATATTTGGTATAATAGCGATTGTATTTTATGACGTACATGTTTTGACAAAAAGAAAGTTGTCTTGTCACTTTTATAGGGGTTTGATATGAGCATGGCCCATCAGTTTGAGATTAATAACTTCATTCAAATTAACGAATCGGTTAATTGGCAATCCAAAAAAAACCTGTCGGTTGACCGAAAGGCATAATATATTATGTTCAACAGAGAAAACACTGGAGGAAAAACACACATGGAGATCAATAAGAGATTACTCTACATTTATATCTAAAGATAGTTATTTATTACCGATTCAGCCTATAAAACACACGTCTTAACCCGTTAGGTAACAAATTTGACAACCCCGTGCTACGTGAAGATCAAAAGAATCGAGTGAACACAATCGTTAAAGGATACTGTTTTTGCTGATACACAAAAGAAACTTACAAATACTGTTGAAAGACTCTGACATAAAAACTTAACCGGAAAATTTACAAAATCAATGTGCTCCATTTGATACTTCGCTCCCAAACAATGTCGGAAATAACTTACTAGTTAAGCAAATTGTTCAAATTAAAGTAACTTATTCGGTGTCCAAACAAAGGGTTGAGGTAAACGTTTTTCCTTTTCTTGCATTTGGCACTTCTGTAAAAACAAAACGCCAAATATTTTGTACTGCTCCTTTTGTTTTTATATACATGTACAATACACGGCTATTAAATTCTGATTTAGCTGTACCATAGAGCAATGGCTGTACCAAAGAAAACTGAAGGTTAGATCTGAGATAAATGACTGTAGCATGCAGAGAAATGCAAAATTTGCATTTGTTTTTGTATTTTTGGGGGGGGGGGTGGGGGTGGGGTTGGGGGTGGGGTTGGGGTGGGGGTGGGTCGGGCTCATGCCCTTTCAAAAACCATTTGTTTTTCACGACTTCGGAGGTCATCACATGACCTTTTTCAAAAAGTGAACTTTCATTGGCCACATAACCCAGAAAATACAGCAAACCAGTCTGCAAGCATATGAAAAAAATCCATACATTTATTTGTGTACCTTTTTGTACATGATACATGTACTTTTAAGTTTTTCGCTCTGGAATTAAAATTGCTTATGGCTATAGCAGACTTCCTAGTTTTTTTTTTAATTTCAAGAAACAACTTTTGCTCTACAGGCAACAGATTAAATAAAACTAATTCCAAAGGTGAATTGTTTGCTACTGTTTCCCCACATTCTTGTAATATTTTTGTAATTAAGGTTAATTATTTTTTTTTTCAACTATACAAACAATAAATGTTGCTCACAATTTCAGAAACAACTTTCCGTATAACTGTTGGGTCAAACCCACAGCAAGATTTGGCACAAATTAATTGTCCAAGTTGTAAGTGTCCTAAGTTTCGGTGTCTGTGGTAAACAAAATGCTAGGCATCACCGTACAAAACAATAATTAAATCATGACAAGTAAAATGATCTTGCATAAAATGCGTAGTAGAAAAAGCGAAGAAAGGACAAAATTATAAAGAATTTTTAGGTAAGTAAGACATGTCACTAAGACACTTGTTACGTTTTCCTCAGCAGTGCAAGTTAAACTTGTGAAAATACTTCTTCAAAAATAAAACAAACTAAAGAAAATCAACAGCAATGATAATCATTCACTAGTAAAATTATAATCTCACACTCCACGTATAAGAAAAAAACTTCTCAACCTACAAAAAAACAACAATTAAAAATCAGTAAATACCACAACGAGATCTACCTCACAATTTTATGAACACTTAATTGTGCTTCAATATAAAAAAGTCCAACATTTCATCACTACAACACCATATTATAATTATATATAATCAATGAGCCACCATTTTACTAAAAACAACCTCTATTTACCCAAAGAAGGCACTGGTAGGTCAGATGGCAAGTAAATATTTCATACAAAGTTATGAACGGTTTAAAGGGAATATACAACACTTGCAAACATCAAAAAACAAAACTACCAAACTATTTTGAAATACTTTACTCGACTGTCACTCAGTGAATGACAGCCTATAAGCATCCAGTAAAATCATGGCATCTGGTGTGCTGTCATTTTCAGGAAAAGTGGTATTTTTGTATCAATGCTGACCAGTATTGGAGAAAAAAAACAATTTTGTATTAATACTGCCTCCAATTTACCATATTTTGTTGGTCCGCATTTTGTTTGCTATCGATTACACACCTATGAATAGGTACAAAGCCAGCTAGACTAGTTCCCTGACCTTACAATTCCCGACGTCTATAGATTGCTTTGTTTCTCTTACGTTGGGTCAGGGAACCAGACTACCAGCACAAGATTGTTTCTCTTGGTTTTTCCAGCATCTTCGAACACAAAACTTCAAACAAGTCAGTGTTACAGTATTTGCTATAAAATACAACCCCCCCCCAATCCATTCATTTCTGAAAATTACAGCAAAAGCAAATGTTGTATATTACCATTAATATCCCGATTATGTTTTCCCCTTTCTGTATTTAATACAACCACATGATCATCAAACCTTAACATTATTTACTATCCACACAACCAAATTAGTTTTCAAAACATGTACCTCTAAAATATACAACATATTTTTATTTAAAATGTATGCCCATTATTCGACTGACGTATTTTGAATGGATCCTTAAACGCTGAGAGTCTGGCCACAAAACAAATTTGGCAAATAATTTGGGCCAAGAAATGTTTACTGTTTGGATCAGCAGGAATTTGTTCTCCACAAATCTACAATTTCCTCAAAAAATGGATACAAATATCCACCAAAATAGCATCAAATGCTCAAACAACTCATTCTTTCTTCTCAAGATTTTTTAAAATTTCAATTGGTATATCCACCGATCAAGTTTTAGAAACTTTAATCCCAACCCCCAAGTGAAATGTTTAATTGGATATAACTGAAGTGAGATCTTCAGCAAGTTAGTATTTAATACTACACGAATCTGACACACTTAATTGCTGAAATCTGTGCTTAAAATATATGTCTTATTAGAAACTTGTCTCATTTCTTTTGTCTTTTTAGCTTACAGAACTTTGTCAACTGCCATGCATTTCGGCAGAGACGGTTATTATATTGCTTTCCTAAAATACCAGGACAAAAATAAAAACAGTAGTAGTTATGAAATACAACGTAGTATTTACAAACAAAGTAAAACCGACATTCCTCATTATACAAAGAAGTTTAAAAATACAAAGAATTACAACATCATGCTTATTTTAGAAAATGTTTATTAAGAATATTTTTACTGAATGTCACCATTTGAAGTTGTTTGTGAATTTTTTTTTTTTAGGTGGGAAATTTCAAAAGAATGTCCTGATATCTCACCCTAAAAATATTGTAATGTTCAGAATACTGTTTTTCGCTTAAAGGTACAGTCCATCAGTTGTAATGTGTGCAGTTTGTTTGTTTGAAGCAACAAAAGTGCTCAATATCTGAAGAAGGATGCTGAACAACTAACCTGATGAAGTTTCAGCTTAGCTTGAGCTGCATTTTTTGAGAAAAACAACATTCTAGGATCTCGAGTTCGAATCAAAAGTTGCTGAATCATGTTTTGAATTGGGCCCTGAATTCAGCGTCCGAGACACGTTCTCACTAGCCGATTGCAGCTACGCGATGTCGCGCACTGATACAACGAATTAAAGCAACCGCATGCGCGTGTGTGTCGTGCCAATGCTTGCGCGGGCTTCAAAAATCAAAGGTCTTAAGAAGCACCATTGGAAAGGCCTTCTTTCGTTGATTTCTTCAAAATGACAGCTTGCCAGAAAGAATAATTTCACAGGGAGTTTAGTACCCTTACTATCTTTCAACCAAGTATGTTTTTCAATGATAATTACGCCAGTTACTCTTTGGATAGCTGCAAATGATGGACTCTGGCTTTAACGCGAAGAATGGCAAAAGGATCGCATTTGTGACCAGACCAGTGAACCGACTTGTGATGGTTGTCAAGTTGGTGTTGGCACAACAGCAAAGATTCAAAGCAAAACAGACATAACAACTTTCACAAACTCACACTGACAAAAATAGATCCTATTTCCTAAAGACTACTGTGAATTTTCTGTGTGCAGTGAACGTTAATAAATACCTGAAAATACATAAATATTTGACTTCACATTCAAATGTCCAAAAATCATCGTCAAATTTAAAAACAAAGTTAATATTTCAGAAACAATGAGTTAGACCATATAGTCGGTCTCTGGTCAGCGCGTGCCAATTTTGATCGTGCGAGTCGATTTTGTTTTTTCCACCCACAATTTTCCATGCTAGCTACAACAGCGCCCTCTACTGTTGCACCGCCTCAAATGTTCGTGGGCCGCTCATACCCAGTGATAGATCTGGTATGAGGTTGATGTTGAACAAATGATAGAAGCCCATGGGTACGAAGTCGCTGCCAGTTGATCAACAACAATGGCGACTAGTCAACTAGACACGAATTGACACGATGACATGTGATGTGAGCAATGGTGATTGTGAATTAAAGCGCGTCTAAATACATCAAATATGCCACTTACTTCCATGTCCGTTGTTTGTGGAGTGAAAACTCTTAGGCCCCCCAAAAAAGTCTACGGTTTCTGGTATGCGTGCGCGTCGCCGTAGCCATGCGCGTCAGCAAAATGAAAAAGTTTTTTTTTTCAATGAAAGATGATGTCTCAAACCGCCAAACTCACTGGTTTGACTGGAATCCTGCTGCTGCACAATTTTAACGTGTTTTTAGATGGGGTTATGATCGAGAATAAGCTTTATGTGGCCTCTCTGGACTCCCATATATTTGCACGAAGTTTAGTCGGGCACCATTTGCAATCATCAGCCGACATATGAAGCAAAAAAAAAAACAGGTAAAAAAAAAAAAAGCCACGTTGGCGCACCACTTTTTGGGCAAGCTCCATACCAGAAACCGGAGACTTATTTTTTTGGCCTTAGATTGGTATTGTGTAATGTGACGGGTGTACAATCTAAGCATGACGACCCCCCCCCCCCAAAAAAAAAGCATCGCCGCATCAATGCTGGAACTTTTGTCTGATCAGAGACCAACTATTTTTTTATTTTGCATTAAAGCTTAACTGCCAAATTAAAGGCAAAGAATGAGATTTTCCAACACCAATTTTTTCCAACTCCCACCTAAAAATTTAAACAGCCAATGCTGTTAACCCTAGATCATCATGCCTCGAAACGATGACGTAAATTGGAATACTTGAATGAGCAGATAGCGGTACGTATTAATAAATTATTCTGTTTTTTTTTTTTAAGATCTTACCATAAGTGACCTTCAGTGTATACCATGTACAAAATATATTTCATAGAAATTGCACGTCTTCATGTGATTTGCCACATTAAGTTTGTGCTGCAGAATGCATTTTTCACGACAAATGTCACTCTTTCGAAGTGGGCCTTCTTTTCAAGATGAATGTTCTCGTTCTCCAGATGTAAACTAGAGATTCAACATGAATTTGTTGGGGATTCGACAAGGAACAGCTTAGCATAGTCACTATTCCCTTAGCCAAAACAAGAGTACCAGCCACAACGTCGGATATACTACATGTTAAAAAAACCCAAAACATGTCCTTCTTTTGATCATAAACAACTCTGTTGTTTAGCAATGGAATTAAACTAAAATTTCAGATCATGTTAACAAGGAATGACAAATTTTACGGAGCGACTTTCATCAGCTTTGTGCAACAGGGTGAGATTTAATGACATGCGAAAAGAATCCTCACTTTCGGAATGTTGTTACAGCGCTGGAGACGGTGGGGGGAAGGCACATGCTGTGGCCGAAAGCTTCTGAAGGAATGCAGGATCACCCCTGATGTCATTGCACACCTCCTCGATCGTGTGTTGCACCAAACAATTGAGGAGGTATGCAATGACATCAGGGGTGATCCTGCATTCCTTCAGAAATTTTTTGGCTGCAGCACGCGCCTTCGGCCGCCGTCTCCAGCGCTGTACCGACATTGGAGAACGCAAAGTCGAAAGTGGCAGATTCTGAAAGTGAGTGTTTTTCGTATGACGTTTAAATCTCACCCTATAGCACAAAGCCGATAAACCTTGCTTCTTAAAATTTGCCGTGACTTGATCTAAAATTGTGGTTTAATTCCATTGGTGAACAACAAAGTTATTTAGGATCAAAATTAGACATGGGCTCCGTGCACAAGTACCCCCTCAACGTTGAGAAAGGGAGAGTTAGGGGAGACCACTTGGAGAGACATTGAACGCACTGCCAACGATGCCTGCTGCTCACGTGAAGACGGCCAGGGCTCTGTGCACATTTAGAATAAACTTAGTCGTGCGTATCATACTCCACGCAATACACGCTCGCAAACACCAGTACGCACATGCAGTGTGTGCCATCCACGGGGCTATCGAAAGTGGTAAGAAAAGCGCCCTCTCTTGTTGGCGTACGGAGCCCACGGTGCTGGTGACTGGTTTCCTGCTAACCACATTAAGTTATTAAGCGAATTCCTGATTACCAGCTCCTTGAACATGAATACTGACATTTCCTAAACTGACCAGGATATTGATACAATATAAATTATTCACAATCTTGATTGAAAAAGTCAGTCACCATAAAACATCGCAAGGTTTCCCCGTTCAGGTAGATGTTAAGGGGTGATGCCTCTGCTAGAGCTTGTACACCTTTTGAAGTTTCTGTAGAATGAAAGAAAAAAAATTGGAAAAATCCAAACATCATACAATAAAGTTCTAAACACCGCCAAAAAAACTCATTGGAGGGGTCGTAATTTTGAATCTGATCATCTTATGATAACTTCATTTAGCCTTTGGGGAATGTTGTTAGCTACATTTTGATAGCCCGTTTGCTACCAAAGACTGTAAATCGTTCAATATTGACAACAGTTTATGAAAAATGATGCAGCTTTGAAAAGGTTCAAATTTAAAGAGCACGCGAGTGGAAATTGCTGCACGACAATGAGTCCAAACATTGACAACAGTTTATGAAAAAATGATGCAGTTTTGAAAAGCTTCATATTTAAAGAGCACGCAAGTGGAAATTGCTGCGTGAAAATGAGTCCAAACTTCTGACCTTCCTTGCAAATTCTGGGACAGCAAATGAGGCACGATGAACAGCGGAATTGTAGTATTTCAGATCCAAACCGTCTAGACTCCTCAATGGCTCTCTGAAGTTGGTATTCTGGAGTACCCAAAAGAAAAAGTAAAAAAATTGACCTCAGGTTCCTGGAAATATATACAGCTACAAAAATAATAGATAGATTTAACACCCTCTCCTTTTCGTCTAAATTTGAATGCACGTCTTTAATCACATTTCAATTCAACGAAAGTTCAATCGTTTTCATTGTCCGTGCATTCGGTTTTGAGAAACAGACGGCCTATTATGTTACTTGTGCATTCATTTACACAAGCATACCTTTTCTAAATTGATTTCAGATACAGTTAATTTGATTGACGGTTAATGGAAAAAAAACCCCTAATTGTATCTGGTGCCGATTGCATTAACCTAAAAGTGAAAAAGAGTGGTGAATGTTTAAAATCGCCGTCTAAAAACGAAAAAGAAGTCTTGTAAACGAATCTGAAAAGACATAAACGAATGGTGTTGCTCAATCACTCAAATGATTGAACTGAAATGGTATCGAATGCTCTGGTAGCAAAAATGAAACGCGTGTTCAGAGCGATTCTTAAATTCAGACGAAAAAGAATGACCGATTTTCAGAAGTGAATTAACATTTTAGGAAATTGGCAGGGAAAACCTATATTATGCCTAACTCCCTAGGCGGTGTGCAAAATCATATTAAAATTGGAGGATTCAGGACTGTTAGGGTTAAAATGATATCAACCCATTAACAAATGTACTACATTGTATTACAATGTACTACAAATGTATTACATTGTGTTTATTCAATACAACCATAGAGTGCTCGGTGGCCGTTTCCATGGGCGTTGCCAAAATTTTTTCTAGAGGGGGGCAAAATTTTTTTTTGCCAAAAAATGCTTGTATTTCTCAACACATTCTCGATTTATCAGTTTTAGAGGGGGGAAGGGACATTTTGCCCCCCCCCCAACTCATTAAATTTACACCACTTTGTTTTCGTGCCTCTTTTTTTTTTTTTTTTTTTTCCTTCCTTTTTTTTTTTTTTTTTTTTTGCTTTTCTGGGGGGGGGGGGGCAAGTACCCCCCCTTGCCCCCCCTCGTGACGCCCATGGCCGTTTCGGGCGCGCGTTGCAGTGAGTATACTAATAGGCAGTCGGATAGTCGCTCAAGCTGAGTTTCGATTCCGTACGTTGAGTCACAAGTGATACTCACCTGGTTGAGGCTACACATAACAAAACCCTGCATGTCGGGAAAGGATGGGATCATACACATGTTGTAGTCCACCACACTGAAGTAGTCACCGGACATCTCCATGACAGACCGAGCGCACTCCAGGTTGCCCCACACTGAAGGCTCTGGTGAACAAACAAACAACAATAGGACAATTTTAATTAAATTCAATTCAAATAGACATTTATTTCCATATACAGCTATTACACGGTAGATAATGATTGTTATTTAACCGACATACAGATACTTGTCATTAGGTGGAACTCACATCATGTGACATTCGTTATTGCTCCCATTCACGCCGCGGCTCAAAAAGTACTATCCGCCCATGGGGAATGGGAAATACTATTGAACAGTTACAATGTAGGATCATTCTTGTTCCATGACGCGGTATCTGTGTGCAAATGCATGCTGGTGTGCACGTTCAGCGTTGCGCGTAGCGCGTATTGTTCCAAAGAGCCAGCCCTACAGAGTGGGGTTCAAACATTTTTGTGAAGGGGTGGTTTGGAAGCAATTACAGTTCTAGAGGTGGGAGGAAAAGCCCAGAAGAATATTCTGGGGTAAACCCACGGAATCAGGCAGGGACTGAAAACCAAATCCACATGTTGGCCCAGGCGGGATTCGAACCTGGGTCACAGCGGTGGAAAAGTACAGCTACGAAGTGTCTGGCTCCGACAACAAGTCAAAAACAGGGAAATACCCGGTACCCACGTTGCGACATGAATATTCCGTTGGGTTTCAGGGCCGCCTTGACCAGTTCATAGTAATCCTTCGAGTAGATGCTGTCCGTCAGGTCGTTACAGGGCGTCCTGTCTGGAATGTCGTTTATGATGATGTCGAAGGCTTGCCTGCGCTCCTTGACGAACTCAAAGCCGTCGCCGATGTGCAGCTTTAGCCTCTTGCAGCTGAAGCCCACCGCCATGGAGGGCATAAACTCCTTGCACGCACTGATCACCTCCTGAACAAATCATGAGAACTATAAACTTAAAGCCAGAGTCCATCATTTGCAGCTATCCAAAAAGTAACTGGAGTAATTATTGTTGAGAAACGTACTTGGTTGAAATATAGTAAGGGGACTAAACTCCCTGTGAAATTGTTCATTCTTGCAAGCTGTCATTTTGAAGCAATCAACGAAAGAAGGCCTTTCCAATGGTGCGTCTTAAGAAGCACTGTAGGAAATTCAAATTAGTAGTTGTGCGCGCAAGCATTGGCACGATGCACACTTGCGCACGGTTGCCATAATTCGTCGGATCAGTGAGTGACATCGCGTAGCTGCAATCGGCTCTGTGAGAACATGTCTCGGATGCTGGATTCAGGCCCAATTCAAAACATGATTCACCAACTTTTGATTTGAAATTGAGATCCTAGAATGTTGTTTTTCTCGAAAAAATGCAGCTGAAGCCAAGCTGAAACTTCACAAGATTGGTTGTTCAGCATCCTTCTTCAGATATTGAGCACTTTTGTTGCTTCAAACGAACAAAATGCACCAATTACAAATGATGGACTATACCTTTAATAACAAATTAGCACTACTGGTACAAAAGACAGATCCATTACGCCCCCACCCACTACTTGACAAAGTCCATTTCCCAGTGAACCTCAGCACCTAGACCAGCCAACCTGTCCCATTATGCAAGGGTTCGTTTAAAAGAATTGAAGCTTTATTAAACAAATGTACACTTTTTTATTCAAATTTGCTGTTTCTCTGTGAAATAACCATTTTTGCAGAATTCTGCCAGAAATCTGCCAAAAAAATCCATCCTGTCAAATTTTCTGTCAAACTCGTTTTTTTTTACAAATATTCTGTCAAAGTTAGCCGAAAATCGGCTAAAACAATCATCCTGTCTGCACCCCACATGCCACTGGGACTTCGGCCTCGTAGCACGTGGCACAGACATATTATTACGAGTTCCATGAGTGCAAGCCGCATACTTACCCCCGGTACCGATACAATGAAAATGTTCAAATTCGTTACCTCATCTATTTCACATAGAGTGATTGTCTCTATGTCGGAATGCTTGTCCAGCTCACGTATGACGCCCCCATCGCCCCCGCCAACTATGAGCACCTGCAAGCATTTCAAGAAACAATTTCATTATTCAATTTATTGCCTTTTCATCAGGGTTCGACCTTTTTTCACTAGCCAGCCAGGCTACTGAAACAGACTCTTAGCTAGCCCGGGGGCATTTTCACTGGCCTGCATGTTTTTTCTTATATACATGTAGAATGTCTCATGAACAACAAGGTGCACACATGTAAAACGTGTCTCCTGAGACAATCTTGTCAGTGTTTTTAATAAACACATAAACATTTAATAAAACTAGCCACAAAGTGATACAGGTTGGCTTTCTGGTATTTAATGATCTATTTCTTCCTGCCCTTTTATCTTTGCCGTAGCCCAGTAATTGTTGACTCGCCAGCCGGGCTACTTAAGGAATAGTTTGACTAGCCCGCTGCAGTTTTGACTAGCATTTGGCTAGCGGGCTACCGCTAAAGTCGAACCCTGCTTTTCATTAAATGTTCTAACGTGTACACTGTATGAGTTTGTACAGTATTCAAATTTCTGTATTGTAGGTACCGGTATTTAAATTTGTATGTGCAAACCGAGAAGTAGAATTTCATGCTGAATTGAATTGAACTGAATTAAATTGAAGCAGAAGAAAGGCACGCAGCAAAGTTTCTCACGTAAATGTTAACTCAATCTGTCAACCCTTGCATTATGTACTGTAAATACGCATAACAAGTACACATTAAATTGACAGATACTACTACAATCACAGCAACAAATAATTCCATCATACCAGAACTTGATAATAGATTTGAACTTGTCAGCAAACTGGATTTAAGTTGGTGCTCGTCTGCAGGCTTTCAAGCAGACCCGGGTGGGAAAGTAGGAGAACAGTAGGATGAAAATAAAAATAAAAAAGAAACAGGACAAAAACAGGACTTTGGAGGACAAAAACAGGATAAAAATAGGACTTTTGTTGGCTTTCAGGAGTACATGTAGTTTTTGTTGATATCTCACTCGTGTCCACAGCATAAGCCACATTTGGCATGTTCTGTACTCACAACACTTGTGCTCCATCCTCAACTAAGCTCTTGGACGTACAGTTGCAGTACTCCTGCGCCCAAGCCCTTCATTGTGTGATTTCCATATACGACAGTGTGTAGCACTGTTAAAAAGTTTCCGTGAGAATTCATTTTTTTGGAGTTGTGGGACCAAAAAAGAAGGAAAAAGTAGGAATTTCAAGAAAAAAATAAGAAAAGTAGGAGTGAGGTCAAACAAAAATTAGGAAGAAGTAGGAAAACAGGAACACTTGAAAGCCTGCGTTTGGTTAATGTTGATGAGATTGAGTGGATCTGAAATCTTGTTAATTTGCTGGTTAGGTATTCCAACTGCGCATGTGTACATCAAGATTTGCCAAATTTTCTTTCCGGCTAAAAATGCCATCGTATGCGTGCAAAAGCATAGCGGGGTACCAGCAAAATTGAAGAGATCATCGTGTGCTGAAGTGAGCAAAATTGAAGAGATCATTGTGTTCTGAAGTATAACATTTTGCAAAAAAAACCTTTGGACAGCAAAGTGTTTATAGGTGTCTTGTGTGTCAAAACTTGGGTGCGAACGAAACGTCCACCTCTTTTCGCTTGCATGAAAAATTACACAGAATGCAGATTTATGTTACCACGTACGTCCCCCATAGCCTTGTGTGCATTTATCTCCCGCGGTAATTCGAAGAAAAAAAAAGAGAAAAATATCCTCGGCACCAAACTATTTTGGAATACCAAACTTGCTTATTGCCACGAAAGCAACCTTCTGATTTTTTTTCTCACACTGAACTTACTGACAGCACTGAATACCGTACACACGCTCACAAAATATTACAGCACATTTATGGGCTCTGTCTGGAATGTCAGTCCGAGACAGGCAACACGTACATTCTTAGGATTGGGGTGGCAGGCTACAGGTACGTGAGCAATCATCTCCTGATAGCCAAACTCATCCTTCTCCGCACACTGCACGTCTCCGTCCAACACCAGAAGCTTCCCGCTGCTTTTACTGAAAGACAAAAAGAAAGAAAGAAAAAACCTCTCACCATTTGCAGAGACTCACAAGATCAGACAGCGTCGTCTTAATCTTGCTGGCCACTGCGTCTGCCACCCTGAGCTTGCTGCCCACCCAACCATACTGTGGGAGCCCACCCAGGGCACTGCCTTAAGAGGGAGAAGAAGTCTGACCTTTGTGGACCAGCTCAAGAGGGACACTGATCTCACATCTGCAGAGGAGCTGTGCACCTGCATGGTAGATCGAGACAGCTGGAGGAAGAGGACTCAGGGACTGGCTCGTGAGTTCGTCACAACCCAGGCGATCCCGACATGATGATGATGTTGATTTGTTTCATAGGTACATGTAACAGCATTCGTCCCAGTATTTTCTACAACTTTCCCTTAAGGTCTGCCAAATCCTACGTCAGGGTTGTGCAAAACAGGCTAAAGGGGTGTTTTCAAAAGAAGAATAACAGGGCAGTTCTCAAACTGCGCGTCGATCTCGCCTGCTTTCGCAAAGGCTTTAAAGAGTGACCTTTGCCCTTGGTGTGTGACCTTGCTTTGACATCATTATTGTATGAAGGTTGCCATGTTGCATCTACCGGCATGACCCAAGTTTGGTTCCAATTGGACTTCAACTTATCAAATGAGACCAGTTTCAAATGTTCAGCCTATTTTACAACTTGACCTCAGATGACCTTTGACCTTAAGACATCACACTTTTGCTCGCAAATATTGAAATTCCGTTTGGCATTATAACCAAAAAGGCACCAAAAAGACCTTGAAAATGGCAAAATGAAAATTTAAAAATAAGGGTCAATAATTAATACAAAGGTGCATTTTCAAGGATTGCATTAAAAACAATTACATTTCACGGGCCCTTTGATATAAAGTTGTGCTTACATAGGGCTTAAATTCCCCCCCCCCACAGTAGTGTGGTTGGGGTCTACGAGCGAATACTTACCTGTAGAGCGAATACTACATATGCATTGTTCCCTATGCCGGCAGGCAATTCGCTAAGAGTTTTACATACAATAGCGCCCTCACGTGTCCTACCCACGACGCCCTGTGACATGCGCACTACGTTAGCGTCCTCTTTTTCTCAAGCGTTACTTGCGTAAGCACTAAAGGAATCGAGTATAGTGGGGAAGGAGGGAGGGGTGCTCTACAGGTAAGTATTCGCTCGTAGACCCCAACCACACTACTGTGGGGGGGGAGTCTACATCACTCTACTTACCTGTAGAGCGAATACTACATATGCATAGACTCGCACCGAGTAAGGCGGTGGGTATACGCAAATTACCGTATGTCTACAGGGGTGTAAGACATGAGGCGTGTCCAAAGGCAAACAACACCAAACCAAAAAACCTACACCCCAGACGCTCCAGGTTTCACCTCGTAAGGGGAACCCAAAGAGCTCGTGCGCAAAAAGTCAGGGGGGTGTAACCATTATGGGGATGAACCCATGATAGGTACACCTAATTAAACTTAATGCCCATACAAATATATATGTATATTTATATGCTCACCCGTTAGTGCTTCCGTGAGGCTCGACTGGCCGCCAGCAGCACTTCTCTTCCAGCCTTGCCATCTACCTGGAGGACATCCTTCAGGTAGCATTCGGAGAACGTGTTAGGGTTCTTCCAGCAGGCTGCCTTGACGATGTCACCTAGGGGGACACCTTTAAAAAAGGCCCACGAGGTGGACACTCCCCTGACCTCATGCGCTCGAATGGGTCCCTGGGTCGCTGGCCAGCCGCCCGGTACGGAACGGATAGCTGTCACGATCCAGCGAGTGATTGTATCGCGGGACGCCGGCCCATGGGGCGGGGTCGTCGTGATGAACAATTTGTTGTGTCCCGTACGAAGTGACTTCGTACAGTTGACATACCACTTAAGTGCTCGAACTGGCACCAAAGTTTGTCGTTTGTCTCGTTCGAAAAAGACTTGATGTCCGGGACAAAGATGTCCGGGGGCGTAAAGGTCTGCGACTGGTTCTTTGCGAGAAAACCGGCCGTAGGGATCAGGCGGACACCCCCTGGTTCCCACCGGATGTGTCCTGTCTGCATCGATAACGAGTGTAGTTCACTACGTCGTCGGGACGTAGCGACAGCCAATAGAAAAGCTACTTTGATGGAGAGTTGTAACAAAGTTGAGCAATTCATTGGTTCAAAGGGAGCCTTCGCCAGTGTAGATAATACACTGAAGAGGTCCCAAGATGGGATTAATGTGCGTACTGGGGGACGAGTATTAAACATCCCCTTGATCAGTTGGGTAATTGCAGGGTTGCCGGAAACGGAGGAACCGTCCGAAAATCCCTGATGGATCACGGCAACGGCCGATCGATAATTTTTGACCGTGGCCGTCGTGAGCCCACTGTTAAAAAGGTATAGGAGGAAATCCCCCACTTCCTCTACAGAAGTATTGGGGGATGAATGGATTGCTGTCTACACCATTTAAAGAAATGGCGTAGTCGGCTATCGTACACCTTTCTGGTTGAGGCTCTACGGGACTGAGCTGCAATTGTTGCAGCTCGTCGCGAAAAGGCCTGCTGAGCAGAGGGATCGCGTGACAATACCCAGCACGTCAGGTGAAGATCCCCCGGAGCCTGGTGACTGATTCCCGAGCTGGGCTGATAAAGGAGATCGGCCCTCCTCGGTAGAATTACCAGGCGGTGAACCAAGAGTCGGCCGAGCCGGGGAAACCACGGCTGGCGGGGCCAGAACAGGCTATGAGGAGAATTCGGCAATCCTCCTGCTCGATCTTGGTCAGCACTCGAGAAACATGGGAGATGGGTGGGAAGGCGTAGGCCAATAGGCCGTCCCACCGCACCGACAGTGCATCGGTCTGCCACGCGTTGGGATCTGGGTCCCTCGCGCAGTAGATCGGTAGCTGATTTTCATTCGCGACGCGAATAGGTCCACATGCGGCCGGTCAATTAGTCGGAAGATCGACTGAGCCACCTGTGGGAGCAGTGACCACTCTGTCGGGGCGATCCAGCCTCCGGAGAAAGCGTCGGCTGTGACGTTCTCTTCCCCCGGGATGTGTACTGCCGACAGTGCTATCCCGTGATGTATGCACCAGAGGGTGAGATCCCACGTTAGTGCACACAGATGGCCTGACCGAGTGCCACCCTGGTGATTGATGTATGCCACCACTGTGGCGTTGTCGCATCGTACCAGGACTGCTTGCCCTCTGACGTCCGACTGGAAATGGTTTAGTGCGTTGGTGACTGCCAGCATTTCCAGGACGTTGATGTGGGATGATTGATGTGCGGGGCCCCACACGCCCGCGACCTGTCGCGGGTGGAGGGTAGCCCCCCAGCCGTACCCTGACGCGTTGGTTGTGATAAGTACCGACGGGCGGGGCGGGCGGAAAGCGCGGCCCTGCGTTATATTGGCCTCGACTAGCCACCAACGAAGGTGGGGGACTAGCCAAGACGTAGTGGGCACCGGATGGTCGATCGGGTGCCAGCGGGGTCTGTAGAAAGACAGCAGGTGAAGGTGAATTGGCCTCATCCTCAGCCTGCAAAAATCCACTAAGTCCACCAGACTGGCCATAAGGCCCAACAGCCTGAGCCAGGCTCGGGCCGGAGCCACTACCGTCGGGAGGAAGAGGGACACGCACTGCCGAAGGTTCAGCAGGCAGTCCTCCGATGGACGGGCCAGTCCCCTGCGAAGATCGAGGGATGCACCTAGAAAGGTGGGAACCTAAGAGGGGACTGGGTGGGATTTCTTGGTGTTGATGAGAAATCCCAGGTCGGAAGCAAGGTGCCACGTTAGTTGGAGCGCCGCTTCCGTCTCCCCTCGAGAACGACCCACTACTAGCCAATCGTCGAGGTACATGAATATCATGATCCCTCGTCACCGCAGTGCCGCCCCGATCGTCTTCACGATCCGGGTGAACACCCGCGGAGAAGTGGATAGCCCGAACGGGAGCACCACAAATTCGTACAGTATATCTTTGTATTGGAAACGTAGGAATTTGCGGTGCTCCGGCCTGATCGGTACGTGAAAATACGCATCTTTCAAGACTATACTGGCTGCCCACGCGGGCGTGATGATCGATTCGAGAATGGTCCGTAACGTTTCCATGCGGAAACGTTTCGGACGTATGAACTTGTTGAGGGGTTTTAAGTTCAATATTGGACGCCACACGCCGGTCTCCTTCTTGGGGGCCAAGAAGAAGGTTGACATGAAACCTGCCTTGGGGGACAACACGAACTGCTCTCTTTAGAAGGAGGGCGTCGATCTCCTCCTCGAGGGAGCGGCGTTTTGCTGTGTCGGGCGGTATGGGCGTTGTCCGAATAAGCATGTCCGATGGGGGGGGGTTCCTCGTAAACTCGAGCGCGTAACTGCTGCTCATCGTTTCGAGGACCCACCGGTCGGAAGTCACCTGCACCCAGGACCCCACGAACTCCACGAACGGGAGGCCGTTCGGAGACGCATAAGTCACTTGCGCCACGCCCCGGTGTACCGGGGAGTGGGCGCACGGAAACCGCGTCCCGACTGGGGACGCTGTTGTCCGGTATGTGGTTGTGAATAACGCGGGCCCACCGTCTTATCGGCGCGCCCACTAAATCCACCACGGGCCGCCCTGACCGGGCGGCGTCAGGGAATGACAAAAGAAGGTTGTTTCTTTGTCTTGTCCGTAGTTTTCAACTCGGCCAGTTTCTTGAGATTAATTCTCTCAGTGGCCTTGAGGCGCTTTGCTTCGGCCTCCATGGCCTCCTGGAACTTACCAGAAAATAAGTCCGGGCCTGAAAGCGGAAGTTCGTCGAGACGCTTACGTGCTCCCGGTGACGGGAGGAAAAGCGCATCTAGCACATTGGCGCGGCGTGACGATGTTGCTAAGGTCGACACTCTAGCAAACTGGTCGAGAGTGGAGCACAGGCCGCGATCGAGGCAATGGAGAGCAGCCACCATCATGTCGGCTGGTATCACCGAATCTTCTTCATATCCCAGTGCCAGGTACTCTGATAGGAGAAGAAGAAAGGACGTCGCACGCATACCCATGCGTGCCGCCGAGTCCATTCTACGGGTGACATCCTCCAGTTTTCCACGGGTCTTGTCCGTAAAAGGAACTTTGGATGAAGCTGTCCCTCGGTCAGCGGCGAGTTTGTCAATGGCCGAGTCCGGCAGGACTGGAGTTGAGAAATATTTCTCAAAATCCCCTGGGGGAAAATGATAATACGAGTCTATGCGCTTAGCGTAGGCACTCCATGTCTTTGCGTGCATTATCCCATCGATGTGGTCAACGCACACGCGGTCCAGGGGCATTGTGGGAAACGCCCGGACCGGTTCTGTCGTCGGTCCCGATCTCTTCTTGAATGACTGACGTTCAGGAAGAGGAGGAGGTTCGGTCCCAGCAGGAAGATTCAGAACTCTGATCATATCCCGTTGGACCAAGCTAAAATTTTTTTTTTTTTTTTTTTTTTTTTAAATTTTTTTTAATTTTTTTTTTTTTTTTTTTTTTGCGGGTCAGCTCGCTCTCGTCCGCCGAGTTGTCAGAGTACGGGGCGAGTTGTCACCGGGGAATGGGAACCAGGCCCCGGGGGCGAAGCAGCGCCGTCACGGTATCGAGCCCCGCTCGGACTCTAGTGACACCGATGGGTGTAAACTAATACCGGGCGGTGACGCCGGTGCACGGCTCTCCGTGCACGGCATTGTCCGCTGGTCTGTAGTCACCCCACCACGGCCGTGATGACTGGCGGGTGGGGGCTGTAATTCTGGAGGGGACTCTGGCGCACGGCTAACCGTGTGCGGTATGTCCCTTTGGCCCGGAGTCATCCAGCTGTGAACGTAGTCTCCCTGTCGGCCCGACAATGAGGCCGCGAGGGAGTGAAAAGCCTCCAAAAAATCATCGCGTGAAATCGTGTGATCGATCGGATGACTCACTAGAAGAACTCGTCGAAGAACGGCGGTTCTTTTTCGATTTTTTTCTTTTTTGAAGAACGACTCCGAGTAGTTGCCGAGGATTGCGGGGACACGGGGATGCCCGAACAACGAATAAAATCCGATGTATAGGCATGGCCCTCCGAGCGTTGCGTTAACGCTCTGGGGGAATCCCAGGGATTCGGCTCTACGCTATCAATAGCCCGGGCGGCCGACAGCGCCCCCACGCCGGTAACATAGGCGGGTGCTGTACGGTCGATTAACCGGCCATATAACAGCCCATCCCCAGGCATCGTGGTAATCACGGGGCTGGGTGGGCCTGGGTGCACTGAGCCATGGAGGAGTACTTCCTCCGGCTGCGTGTGCCCCGTAGACGGGCCAGGGACAGGCACGGTGCGCCCCGTAGTGGGGCCACCTTTTGCCGTACGTCCCTTTTTGGGTGCTGCCCCGGCGTCAGACAATTTCCTTGTCTTGCCGGTGCGTTTCCCCTTCAGTTGGGCGGACCCGTGAATATTGACCGAAGACGGTGGGGTTGTACGGCCCCCCGCTTGGTCAACGGGTCCGTCAGCTCCGACAGCCGGCAGTGGCTGAAGGGGCCGACTAGGGGACTGCTGCCGCGGTGACGTACCATCACCGGTGCAGTCCCCCGAGAACTCGGGCTTGTCTGGTGGGATGTACGTCCCTCCATTATCGACACACCCAGTCCTCCCCAACTTCCTAGATTTACTCATTTCTTACTTCACTTTCACTCAAATACTTCACTAGAACAACTCTACAATAAACACTTTCTCTTTATTTCTTCGAAATAGCTTTCTCCAAGCAAAAGAGGTACCAATAAAATAGTGAAATTCAGGTCGATTGAAATTCCACGTTATACCTCGCCTGCGGCTAAGAGAAAAAGAGGACGCTAACGTAGTGCGCATGTCACAGGGCGTCGTGGGTAGGACACGTGAGGGCGCTATTGTATGTAAAACTCTTAGCGAATTGCCTGCCGGCATAGGGAACAATGCATATGTAGTATTCGCTCTACAGGTAAGTAGAGTGATGTAGACACCAAAGGTTTCATAGCGCTTGACAATTGTTACCGCTGTTCATCAGGCCACAGTTCCAGTTTTTTTCTGCTGGAGCTCCAGATCAGCGCATTCTGGACTCTACCTTCACAGATATCGTACCCATTTATACTCCTGGGTGGAAAGAGGCAATTGTAGTAAGGTGTCATGCCCAAGAACACAAGCACCATGTTCCCGTCAGGGTTCGAACCCACGTACCACGGCACATGAGTCGAACACCGTAACCATAAGACCAAGAAATTTTTTTACGCGTAAATCTGCCATACACGCGCAAATCAATGGTCTTGCGTGCGCGCAAGGAGCTTTCGTGAGCCGTCAAAAAGCACCATCCTCTGGTTCTGCACTGAGCCCAAAACCCAACGGAAGTTTAAACTATTAAGTCGAAGAAAACCGAGAACAACTGCGCACCAAAACCATATCATCTATAAGATAAAATACCTTTCGAAAATCAGCACCTCTTGATACTTGGTGGTTTTTCTGAACAGGACATTTTCAATTTGGTGGCAGTACGCCTGTCCATCCCAGACGTCGTAGAACCATCCCTCCTTCATGAAGGACGTCCCAGGCTCCATCTTGCCGATGTTGAATGTCCCCTGCATACGAATAATGGGTACGGACGGTTGGAGAAGGTGTGTACTGTTTGTGACTTCTTTTAACTTTGTGCGAGTGTTTTTTTGACAAAACAGAAAATACTGAATATCACATCCAACACTGGGAGTGGGAGGGGGGAGGGGGAGGATATCACCTGAAAAACAGCTCTCAAAAGTACCCTTTGTACTCATTTCATGACAGAAACAATAGTCGTTTTTTAATATTTAATCACACCTTAGGCTACATATACCCGAAAAGTGACGGAAATGTCTTCGAGCATTCCACAACCTCTTTAACGCTAGTTTACAGCTGGACACCAAAGTTGCATTAGTTACAATGTGCACTTTGTATAATACGATAGTTAATATCTACAAGGAACAACTTCCCAGTGGAATATTGCTGTTTTTTAGTTAAAATGGGTCCCTTTGGTAGTATGGAGAACAACAATTTAATATCAGTTTTGGGCTCAATAATAATATAAAGTTATGTAAATGAAGGCCTCTGTGGTGTCCACATGTAACTTACGTAACATTTTGATACAGAGATTGTCAAAAGAGGTCCATATAAGATCGTCACAGGAATATAATTTTTAATGGGTGAATTTCCCTCTGAGGTACTTACTGTGAGACACTGTGGTCATATAATTTTCAATTGATCTGCTATTAAAATGGTTTAACAGCTAAATCTCTCATTTTATTTGACGTTAGTTACGGTGTCCACTTGTTAAATTTGCGACAAAATATTAATATAAAAAAAAATCGTCTAAATTTTAGATTTTCAGCAATGAATAGCTTATATTGCAATAAAGAAACTATAATAATCTCCATTTCTGACAATTATGGTCTGGTAACTGGTAACAAGCAGGAAGTGGACACCATGTAACTAACGTTAACTTTCTCTTTATCACCAGCATAAAGCTGCTAATAAAGGAAAGATGCTTTAAAACTTATCTTCTCATTATTATTTTCTATTGAGGGAAGGCCGGTCGAACATTATAAAGGGAAACAAAATTAATACAACCAATTTTATTTTTGATCCCCATGTCCCTATTTTATTCTCCAGTATTGTGTTCTTACACATTTATGAGCTTTTTGCATGTACATGCACATGTGTAATTCTATAAATCAGGGGTCCAACGTGGGACATTGCATTAAAAGGGCCCTAAAACTTTTAAGTTATTTTAATCATGGTCAATCTGGCTTTTCATGTTTTGAGATGTATTGACTTCCATCAGGATGGTAAAATATCAAGCCTTTTCAACAGAAAGGAGATCCTTAACATTTTCATGTCATCTGGAATATTAAAAACACTAAGCTTTAAACATAACTGGGACACTACAGGACACCATGTTACATGTGAAATATTACAACTGGTCATGTAGTTCTTGTTTCTTGAGCATTGCAGCCTTGTTGTTTTCTTATCCTTTTATTTGATGGACAGAATTTGTAAAATACCAAGGATAAGTATACAAAGTGACCATGAAAGACACTTTACACACAGCAGAATTGGTTCACAGGTAACAGGGACACGGGGACACCAAATGTTATGTGAAACCATCATATTGGGGAGCACCATATCACATCTTCACAAATTCAGTTTAAAAAATTGTAACTCATGTTGAAATTGAGTTAGTACAGCCATCATTTTGACCTTAAATATGGCATAGTTTACCTTTTAAGGAGGCAAAAATGAGACTGTTTTTTGTCCCACTTTTGAGCCCAAAAATGAGAATTTTCGGCTTATTTTTAACCAAAAACAGGAACTACCGGTAAATGGGATTAAGATGTTAAACACATTCCTAGGTTTTATCAAATTGATGCAACTTATGGGAGTTTGTTGCACATAAAGTTTCATTATCTTAAATACATTTTCTACTTAGTTCAATTGAACCAAAAAAAGACAATATTTCCTAGTGGTCCCCTACATGTAGTTTATAGAAAGTCCCACTTGTACGGTACTACAACGCCAAAAAAATGTCCATGTGTTCAATAGTTGCTCAAGCAAACTATGGGCCTACTGAAGCTGACGGTTGATCACTCGGGAAGTGCAATCACCTGCAAAGAAGGCAACAGGTGGTACAGCAGGTGACACAAAGCCTTGTTTGACTTTCAACCAATTTTGTAGGTGGGTGGGGGATTTGGGATTGCCTTTTTGTTACTATATTTAAAGGGACACTTGATTTTTTTCATTCGATCTTTCAATAAGGGCAAATGTTTTGAATACCTTTCCCCTGATGGTTTTTATTTAAAAGTTTCATTGACGTTGCTAGCATTCTATACTAAACATATTTACAAATAGCAAGGTTCACACACATCCCTAGGCTAATAGGAATGGGACGGGCTTTCATTGAAACTAGTCATGCTTGACGCCAATTCCAGTGTAGTTTCCTTTTAATAAAAAAGCTATTCATGTTTTACCCTCTGCAAGTTTTTTTCTCACAAAACCTCAGTAGACCGATAAATCCTTGCCTAGCCCCAATAGTACAGGCAATTTAGGTTTGACCTCAAACAAATTGCAACAGAATTTTTTTCACCACAGTGCATTTCTATAAGGTCCCTAAAATGACATTTAGGTGGTGGAAATACACACGTATGCCTAATTTGCATAAATCCAAAAAGGACTTTCGCATTGATTCGGTCATATTTCTCATACTAGGTAGATTTTGGAGGTGCTTTAAATGACAGTTTTAGTCCTTTTACATTGATTTACTCATTATTCTAGTACTAGGTAAATTTCAAGATCCCTATGTTTCTGAAATTTCCCAAATGCTGTATAATTTGCATAAATGCCGTATATCAATTTGCCTAAATTAAAGTTAAAATAATGGATGCCATGTGTGGACATGTACCAATTGAATTTTCCCTGATAATCCAAATCAAATTTCACAACACAGTGCGTTGCTATAAGTTTCCTAAAAAAGTTGTTAAAAATCCAAGTGATGGAAATATGCCTAATTTGTGTAAATTCAAAAGGCCGCTAATTACATGATTTTCATATGATTTGGCCATATAGTATAGGCCGTTATGTACTTTTGCATTTTTTTTGTTTAAGAAGGAATTTTTGCCATATTTGGAAAGAGTTTACCTCCCATAGTTGATCGGATATGCATTGGAGACATTTTTTCCGAGCTACCGGTACCATGTGGCGGCCATCTTGGATTTATAAATGGCCGCCATTTCCAGCCTAATTTGTATCATGTAACTTTGGACTTGATTGTCACATAAAGTTCATTTTGATGGCACACCCCATGTTTTTGATACAAAGGAACCCGAGTACATTATTGTTTACGATATACTCCAAATGGATGGCAGCCATCTTGGATTTTTCAAAATAGCCGCCATCTTGGATTTCATTTATAATAACATTGCACCTGAATGTCCTATGAAGTCCATGTTTTTGAATGAACTCAAGTAAATCACTGTGGACGGGTTACTCATAATTGATGGCAGCCATCTTGGATATTTCATAATTGCCGCCATTTTGAACTAATTTGCATATTAATTTTGGACTTGAATGTCGTATGAAGTCACTATTGGTGGCAAACCCCATAAATTTGATACCAAGGAATCCAATTAACACATTTAGGCATCCCAAATGGATGGCAGCCATATTGGATATTCAAAAAAAGCAGCCATCTTGGATTTCATTTAAATAATAAGGTGGCACCTGAATGTCGTATGAAGTCCATTTTGGTGGCAAACTGCATGTTCTTGATACCAAGATACCCATATTTCCTAGTGGACCCCTAGTTTATAGAAAGTCCAAAATGTATGGTACATGTACTACAACGCCCAAAAAATGTCCATGTGTTCAATAGTTGCTCAAGCAAACTATGGGCCTACTGAAGCTGACGGTTGATCACTCGGGAAGTGCACTCACCTGTAAAGAAGGCAACAGGTGGTACAGCAAGTGACACAAAGCCTTGTTTGACTTTCAACAAATTTTGTTGGTGGTGGGGGGGGGGAGATTTGGGATTGCTTTTTTGTTTCTAAACTAAGTCCTGGAATAAGCCCAATTGGGCTATAAAAACGCACTTTAAATGAAATGATGTTAATTGGAAAGAACTTTTAAAAGTAGGATATAAACATCCACACAACTATCCTTTCAAAACTTGGCGTTTTTGTATTATGCGTGCGAGAACGACTTTCGGGGTCCACTTTTGCAACCCAAAAAGTCGACTGAGCTGTTTGGGTGCTACCGGTAGTTCTGAGTTCATCCGTAAAGTGTTCGCCTTTTGCGGACGTGTATAAGAAACCACATTTTGTGCATTGGTGATTGGTCACTGCTGTTCGCGAGCACAGTACTGTATACGTTATGATAGACACACACAATGTGTATCGTATACTGAAGACGACAGGAAAAACGTATTCATACTCCGTCATGTCCGATGTAAACAACCTTTTTTCTGGGGAACGGTAAGACATTAGGCTGGTTTTCTTTCAACCAGATGTTTGAAACAGGATAAGTAAACAATCCAAAACATGAAATATTGGGGGATTTCAGGACACAGTGCCCCTTTAACTACAACTGTTTGTCATGTTTGTATACATGCAACTAATCATAGATCGGCCTCCCAATTCTCCCCCTTCCCAAACTTTTGGGAAAAACAACAGAACATGTACATTCCCGATGAGCCATTTCATTCTCAAAATGCTCAGATGGGGATTTTAAGAAAGAGTAAGGCTGCACACTGTTTGATTTTGATACACTTCAACAGCTTCCTACCAGCTGTGAAAGTCGTTCGAACACCCAGGCAAGACAGAATCAATACTAACACATCCTTGTTTTTGCCAGGGGAAAACGATCAATATCAAAACACCAGATGTCAATATCACAGTGCACATTTTTTTTTTTGTAGTATTGACCTTCATTCACTTGAATTTTTTTTTAAGCACTAAACTGCCTTTCAAGAGTGTTGTTGACTTCGCTGTCATATCACTTTACTAAAATTGAATTTTTTTTCCTTTCTTTTTTTGAGCACCAAACTGTCTTTCGAGAGTTT